AGCGCGCTGAGCTGCTGCAGGCCGCGCGCGGCCGCGCTAGGCAGTAGCGGGCCGCGCGCGGCTCGGCGCGGGCTGTTGCGGGCCGCGCGCGGGCCGCGCGAGGCAGTAGCAGGCCGCGCGCGGCTCGGCGCGGGCTGCTGCGGGCCGCGCGCGGGCCTCGCGAGGCCGTAGCAGGCCGCGCGCGGCTCGACGCGGGCTGCGTGGGCTCGGCGCGGGCTGCGCGCGGCAGCTGCGGGCTGCGCGCGGCTCGGTGCGGGCTGCGCGCGGCTGCAGCGGGCTGCGCGCGGCTCGGTGCGGGCTGCGCGCGGCTGCAGCGGGCTGCGCGGGCTCGGTGCGGGCAGCGCGCGGCAGCAGCGTGCTTAACGGTCTGCAGGGGCTGTTTGCGGGCCTGACGGGCGTGTAGGGGCGGCGCGCGGGCCTTACGGGCCTCTAGGGGCGGCGCGCGGGCCTTACGGGCCTCTAGGGGCGGCGCGCGGGCCTTACGGGCCTCTAGGGGCAGCGCGCTGGCCTAGGGCAGCAGGAGGCAGCGCTAGGGCTGCTGGACGGCGCGCATAGTGCAGCACGTCACAAGGCAAGGCAAGGCAGGCAGGTACGTGGGGTAGCGCGGTAACCGCAGCGGTAGGTGGGCCCGAAAAAAAAACGGTCCTACGGACCTTAGTGCTCTGAAACCATGTTAGAATCTAGCAGCAGGAATGGATGAACTAGCAGGATGCAGGAGTACAAGTAGTAAACCCTAATTGGGTTGTACCCCATATGGGCTACCCCACTACAGCCTAGACAATATGCAGCACATATAGTTTGACAGAGGGACCACTCATTCTTTGTTTAGTTGCAATCAACAGGTACAAATAGGAGCACGTATAATATGGCGAATAAGGTTGCTCTGTGTCTTATGGGATACGGGCGAGATCCAGTTTCAGAGGCAAAGCTCTAGAGTCCACACGGAAAGACATCCAACTTTCTGGAAGTAGCAGGCGGGAGAGGAGCGGAAAGATATTATGGGAGCAACGGCGGGTTTTCGAATCTACGAGACAAAAAAAAAAAAAAAAAACAAGAGGCGACCAAGTCGACATAGGGTTGCGAAGCTTATTTGTAAATAATATATTTTGTTCTACTACGTACTTTCCTAGATTTCTTAGACATGACACATATCCAATATTGTGTTGACATGAAAAGGTAGCAGCAAGAATCGAACCGGAGACCAACGGCTTCTGATTCACCATACCACTGTGCTTCCACAACTGACTTCGAGGGAACACGAACCTGTTGGAAATGTTGCATTGATACAGAAGGGCGCGGCAAGAACCGAACCCGAGACCATTGGATAAAAATAAGATACTCAAACCACTGCGCTAACAGAACTAGCTTCAACTTCTGGGAAAGTTTTAAAAGGAAGTTTAATTGAAGCCGAAAATTGAATTCCTTTCCCAACATTTCGTCTCTTTCTGGATCGTCAATGCCCTAGTTTCCTCCCGCGTCTCCCTCAACTCCCGCTCCTCCTACGACTGCAGCAGTCATATACTTACTAGGTAAGAATTTAAGGACTAGCGTACGTACTAACGTCTGCTAGTTCTTTTTAGACTTCAAGAAAATATTAGGAGCAGTTTCGTTCATGTTCTTTTCTCTAATTTGAACCAGTAAGTTCTAAGTTATCTAGAAACTTAATCGTTTTTAAGGATATCGTCCATTTCGACGGAACCGTTAGGTCGTTCTTAAATAATGTGTCTTCTCCCGTAAGTCCAACTGTGCTGCTCACGCTCTTAACTCCTAGAACTATCCTCTCATTTCTCTATCATGTCGTTTTCCTCCTTCCTTTTTATTCTTATCAGCTTAGACGCTCTTCTTTCGGTTTTTCTAGTATCTGTGCCCCATCTTCTCGTAGTTATGTGTGTGTGTGTGTTTTTTTCTGTCATACTTACAGGCTCTTTCTGTCTCATTTCTTGCAATGTTTCTTCTCCTCGCATCTCGCGTATAGTCCTCGTATTGCATGTTATCTTCCTTCCGTATTGGTTCCACTCCTACCTTCGTGCGGTTTTTGAATATGTCTTTCATAAGTCTACGAATGTTTTTTTAGAAGCCATAGTTTATTGAAGTCTCTCTCTCTCTCTCTCTCTCTCTCTCTCTCTCTCTCTCTCTCTCTCTCTCTCTCTCTCTCTCTCTCTCTCTCTCTCTCTCTCTCTCTCTCTCTCTCTGTCAAACTCTTTCGCTCGTTTATGTATCTATCAAAACGCTACTATATACGAGCTCATTTATGTTTTCTTCTTTCCTTGCCCAGATTATTGCGTTTCCTCTATGCGGTTATTATCACATCTGGTATTTTTATTCGTTATTCTCCTTTGTACTTCTCTTCCCCACCTGCCTACGTTTCAAATCCTGTAATTCCGTCGTATCGTAGTTCTCTAATGTGTCTCTGCCTCCGTCCTTTTTTCTGCCCCTTCTGCCCCGTTCCTTTCCCTTCCCACTACGTTTCCCCCCGTTTCCCTCCCAGGGTCTTCGCTATAACGTTCGGAGGCTAATGTGGAAATTAAAAGGATTTTGTTTGATTTTTGTTTGAAATGTTAATGATTGATGCTACTGCATTGTTATGTTAGATTTCTTTTAGGTTCATTTTCTGATTGTGACTCGTCTTTATGTGAGCATATCGGTATGTGCGTGTGTGCGTATGTGTCTCTGTGTGCATATTCATACATATCCACCTGCTATTGCATTAACAATGCGTATCTGTGGATTTTAAAAAAATGGTCAAGCTATCATTTCCGAGAAGGTTCTTTGCCCACTCAGTGAGTGTGTTCACTTGAACTGGATTTGATGGATTTTGATCATTTTTTTAGTTTACACAGATTGTGTTGTTTCATGTAACAGTTGGATGATTCAGGAACTATGCTATCGACTTCCCCCCCATGCTAGGCAGGGGATGCGGTAGCATAAGGTCTGGGTCAATTAACTGTCACGCATTTCCATCATGCCATGCATTCATTTCACTGCACCGGACCTATACCGAAATAAACAGAGCACATGTATATTCACCACAGTCGTATATGCATGTATATTTATGCATTTTGCACTCAATCATCATTATACTTCATCTTTACATTTTTTTTACGGTCACGCATTCACAGTTCACGCATTCATCATTTTGGCAAGTCATGTTTATGTTTCATCGATAAAGTATAGGTTACCAGTCAAGGCGAACTACCTAGGAAATGTGAAAGAATGTGGTACGGCACGTGCTAAATTGTCGTGGCAAATACACAGCACTGAATCACTTAGCCACGATTCGCTATTTTTTTTTCATAACGATGAAAAAAAAATTGTACATAACGATTGTAATAGGTTGCTTCGCAACCCAAAAAAAAAAATCAAAACTACGGGTACTTATATGTGGGTGCGGAGGTGGTGGGGGGAGTAGGAGGCATTCTCCTCCCCATACCCACACCGCTCAGCATCTGCCGCAGCGGGGAAGGATTGCGGGGCGGCCCAGCCGCAATGGGTGCACCCATAGGCTGCCCCATAGGCTGTCCCATAGGAGCACCTCCACCCATAGGAGGACCGGCCATAGGTGGCGTTCCCCTCGACCCCCCACTGCTGCCGTAACCTGCTGCTGCACCGGCACTGCTGCTCATGCCCACACTGCCACCATACCCCCCACCACTGCCAAGGCTCCCGCTGCTAGGCATGCCCATGGGGCTGCCTCCTGCTCCCATGGGGGAGGACATAGGAGCCATGCTCACGCTGGTTCTAGGGCCGTAGAAGATGGATGGGGATGGAGAGGACGCAGATCCTGCCCCTCCTGCCCCTCCTCCTGCGCTCCTCCTGCTCCTGCTCCGGATCCTCCTCTCCCTGCCGATGCAGCTGCAGCTGCTGCCGAAGCCACTGCAGCAGAAGCAGCGGATTGGGATGCAGCAGGAGCGGGGGATGAACCTGTTCCTCCCGAGCCTGAACCCTTGGGAGTTCCGGAGGAGGTCCAGGCAGGCTTGGTAGAGGTTGGGGAGAGAGCAGGAGCGGAGGATCTGGGGGATTGTTCTTCCTCTTGCACGGGGGCCATGGGTGCTGCCTTGTTGAAGGCTGCCCGCCAGTCAGCCACCTTCTCCTTCTCCCCTGGTGCAGGTGGGATGGGGAAAGAGAGGGGCGGGGAAGGGGAAAGGAGCACTTGTGATGCACAGGAGCGGAGGATCTGGGGGATTGTTCTTCCTCTTGCACTGGAGCCATGGGTGCTGCCTTGTTGAAGGCTGCCCGCCAGTCAGCCACCTACTCCTTCTCCCCTGGTGCGTGATGGAGGGGAGGGGTTGGGGTAGGCAGGCAAGACAGAGGTGTAAGGTTGATGCAAAAGAGGGAGGTGTTTCAAGAGGTGCTCTTCTTGCCCTGAAGCACTGAAGGCAAGGTGTAAAGCAGTGTACTCTTGAGGCGCCTCAGAAGTGCCCTGAAGCACTAAAGGCAAGGTGTAAGGCAGTGTCTTGTTGAAGGCAACCCGCCAGCCATTCACCTCACACAACACTCTTTCACTCAATCCCACTTGCTCGCTCACTCACTCCCTCACTCTCACACACTCCCTCACTCTCTCTCACCTGCGCCACCCTCCTCTTCTGCGGACGCCCTTGCCTCATGCAGGCTGAGAGACCGCTTCAGCTTCAGCAGAGCGTTCTGCATGTGCTTGAACCACTCCCTCACCCGCTCCCTCAGTACCTCCCACTCACTCCCTCACACACTCCCTCACTCTCTCTCACCTGCACCAGCCTCCTCTTCTGCTGACGCCCTCGCCTCATGCAGGCTGAGCGACCGTTTCAGCTTCAGCAGAGCATTCTGCAGGTGCTTGAACCGCTCCTTTCCTCAGTCCCTCACTCTCTCTCACCTGCGCCAGCCTCTTCTTCTGCAGTCGCCCGTGCCTCATGCAGGCTCAGCGACCGCTTCAGCTTCAGCAGAGCATTCTGCATGTGCTTGAGCCGTTCCCGCTTCCCCTTGCTCTCCATGTCCTCTTGCAGGAGAACGGATAGACTCTCGTCCTATAGCTCACTGCAAGGAGGAAGAGAGGGAAGGGAGGGAGAAAAGACGAAGTACAAGGAGCATAAAAAGGTCCATGTCCATCCAATCAAACCATCGCATTCAGATTACACAGCCGCAATTTATTACAGTCGAATTAAAGAGCTCAAAATAATGAATAATTCGTACCTGACTTTCTGGTACAGCTTTGTGAGCATGGCGTCTTTGGCCTTCTCCACTTGTGTCAGAACGATGGCCTGGCAGCAGGGAGAAGAACAGGGAGTGAGGGGATGAGAGAACAGGCAAAAGTCAATCAGGTGGTTGCACTAAGGGGGGTGTGAGCATGGCGTCTTTGGCCTTCTCCACTTGTGTCAGAACGATGGCCTGATGGCATGGAGGAGGTCAGGGAGTGAGCGGTTGAGTGAAAAGGTAAAACAAATCAGTGGTTGCAGTGGTGGGGGCAAAGGAGAGGGCAGCAGAGGAGGGCAGAAGGGAAGGGCAGCGTGAAGATGAATTGACAGGAAGAACCACATCCTCAGCGTCCCCTTCAAGCGCCCCCTGTTGGCCAGGCAATGGAACTGCCAACCCATGTCCGCTGCCCTTCCCTCAACCACCCACCAACCTTGGGGATGTTATCAGCGAGGTGAGCCAGCACAGCATGCACGTATCGCCGCACTTCAGTCGCCATCGCCTTGAGCTCCTCCTCCGGACTCACCACCCGCTGATTTCCCCCCCCAGGCCCCCCCTGCTGCCCAGGCGCGGGGGGAACGCCCCCCCCGAGCCCCCCTGGCCCGCCCTCCCCCTCGTTCCGCTCCCCATCCGCGCCCCCGGAGTCGTCCCCTGCTTCCCCCCCGCCTGCTGCTTCTGCTGGGGGCGAGGGCGCTTCTTTGAAGGCCTTGGTGTGGCTGCGTAGCCGCTGCACCCACTGCTGCTTCTCTGCCGGGTTGTCGGCTCGAAGGATGAGCGCGTTGTGCACTGCAGTGGGAGACAAAAGGGAGGCAGGGGAGACGAGTTTGATATAACTTAGAGAGGGCGCTTGTTTTGAAGGCCTTGGTGTGGCTGCGCAGGCGCTGCACCCACTGCTGCTTCTCTGCCGGGTTGTCGGCTCGAAGGATGAGCGCGTTGTGCACTGGAATGGAAGGAGGGGATGGAAGAGAGCAGGCACCGGGGGAGAAGAGAAAGCGCGGGAGGGGGATCAAAGTCAGCGAAGACGCTTCTTTGCATGTCTTGGTGTGGCTTCACCGAAACCCAATTTGCCACGCAAGCGAATTAACCTGACCTTGTGCGTTGTGGTATAGTTGCTCTTTAGAATTTCACAAGCAAGCTAAGAATAAACTAAAAAACCAGCTCCGGGTTACACAAAAGCAACTCTCACCTTTGACCATCGTCTATAGTCACATCACATTCGATCATGCTTTATACTCACCTTCCACCATCGTCTACAGTCACATCACATTTGGCCATGCTTTATACTCACCTTTGACCACGGTCTTGTACGGGGTGCGGTTACTGATTTTGAACGACAGCGACTGCGCGGAGGGGCTTTCAGACTTGAGGTCGGACGCTGAGAGGACCTCCTCCGGGGGGAGATTGTCCTCCACTATGCATGGAGTAACAAGGACCTCCTCCGGGGGGAGATTGTCCTCCTCTGAGAGGAACAAGGGTTGCAGGGAGTAACGGGTAGAAGTGATTGTTTGATCTGCTCCACAAAGGGGAAGCAGATGTCACCTGGGACAAATCGTCCTCCACCACGCAATCCTGAGAGGATCAAGGGAGGGAGGGGCGTTTGAGCATTTATGGAGGCGCACTGAAAGCCTCGTGTATTGGGACGACTTTTGAAGCGCCTCAAGAATCGTCTTAATCGTGGAGGGGCGCTGAAAGGCTCAACAAGCGAGGCAGAATCCGTTGGAGTTGAATCTACTTCCATTGTGAAGTCCGACGAGGGGATGAGGTCGGGTCGGGGTGCTTGTCTTGAAAATAGCAATGGCTGAACCTATGGAATCACCTGAACACCGTGGAAAAAAAAAACGTTTGTTCGTTTCTGTCTGTCTCTTCTTTTCTTTGTCCGTTAGTTTTTTTCCTCCTTTTTATTATCTCCAATAACTGACCTTCAAACGCTGACGGCTGGGGAAACCGCAGTGAGGGAGGGGCGATTGATTGAAGGGCTGGCTGGCACTCACCTCTAGAGGGATGAAGCCCCTGGGAGTCTTCTCGTCAGGCTTCTTCACATAGTACAGCTGCAGCGTCACACAAACAGATCGGAGGGGGGCGTGTAGGCGGGAGGTGCATGCAGTGACAGCGGTGGTCAGCATTGCATGCCCAGGCCGTGCGTCATCCCACCGCCTCGTAGCTACCTCTGCCTCCTCGTAGCTACCTCTGCCTCCTCGACCTGCACAAGTGACAGAACACAGCATCAGTCCCTGGCTATTCAGAAATGACAAAAACTTCAAAAGGGAACTAAAAAAAACAAAAAACAAACAAACAAAAACAAAAACAAAAACAAAACAGAACACTCGGGTTTCAAGAAGCAAAGGGCTGAAATGGCATTCACTTACCACTTACCAGGGCGGGATGATTGGTGAGCAGCATCGCCTCAGTGGTGAGCAGCATCGCCTCAGTGGTGAGCAGCATCGCCTCAGTGGTGAGCAGCATCGCCTCAGTGGTGAGCAGCATCGCCTCAGTGGTGAGCAGCATCGCCTCAGTGGTGAGCAGCATCGCCTCAGTGGTGAGCAGCATCGCCTCAGTGGTGAGCAGCATCGCCTCAGTGGTGAGCAGCATCGCCTCAGTGGTGAGCAGCATCGCCTCAGTGGTGAGCAGCATCGCCTCAGTGGTGAGCAGCATCGCCTCAGTGGTGAGCAGCATCGCCTCAGTGGTGAGCAGCATCGCCTCAGTGGTGAGCAGCATCGCCTCAGTGGTGAGCAGCATCGCCTCAGTGGTGAGCAGCATCGCCTCAGTGGTGAGCAGCATCGCCTCAGTGGTGAGCAGCATCGCCTCAGTGGTGAGCAGCATCGCCTCAGTGGTGAGCAGCATCGCCTCCTCGCCAATCAAGCTCCGTTCCTCGCGTCATCACTCGGTTCCGTACGCACCCTCGCCGCAAGTCAGCGATGCCTCCTCGCCGATCTGCACAGGTCAGAAGAAACAGCATCAGTGACTAGACATTCGGATTCGTAAAAAGGCAACAAAGGAAAAGAATACCTCAGGTTTTCAATATTCAAAGCACTACAAAAACAGATTCAGCTTACCATGGCGGAAGTTCCTCTGGTGGCCGTTCCGCCGGTGCAGCAGCGCCCGTTCTCAGCTGCAGCCGCACCCGATATTCCACTGCAGCAGCGCCTGCCGAACCTCGGTTCTTCAGCAGCTTCGTAGGAGCTGCAGCGCCATTCCGCCAATCAAGCAGCAGCCGTTGCTCCTCGTTAAGATCAGCAGTCGTTGCTCCTCATTAGGCTCAGCAGGAGAGCAGCAACGGGCAGCAGCAGGCCTTGGACCTGCACAAGTCAAACCGGAGAGCATAAGTGCCTGAACATTCAGTCGCTAACGAACAAAAGCAACTCGAGAAACATCACTCGGGATTTCATAGGAATGCTGAAACTCGGAAATTCAATATGCTGAAACATTGCTTCAACTTACCATGGCGGAATGCTTCGTAGGAACTTCACGAGCGTCGTGGCCTCCTCGCCAGCAGCGTCGCCTCCTCGCCAGCAGAGTCATTTCTCCGTCGCACGCAGCAAGTCACTCCGTAGGTCAAGTCACGCTGATCGCAGTCACACCGCTGGCTACTAAAAAAGAAGCGGTCAAGCTAAAAAAAAAAACAAGTCGGATTAAACCGTGACCATTCAGATTTAACGGGAATAATATTAATAATAAAAATACTCGGGATTTCAATAAGCAAAGCGCTGGAAAATCGCTCTGAAAGTAAACTTTGACTTACCATGCCTAATGAATGGCGAGTATCCATGTGTGTAGATCATGGACCATCAGACGACGTATTCGCGCTTCGTCGTCGGATTATGGACGTGGTCAGCTGCATCGTCGGATTCGCATGCGTAAGTCGCCAGCACCCGCAATATCGCACGCGGATGGTCGCCATCATTCTCAAACCACGGCATGCGGAAAATCCGTCCTCTTGAGATGATATAGCTGTTTAAGCCTTCCGGGATTAAATCTAGATAGAATCAGCAAAGCGGAACCTCCAGAACGTGTAGAACTAAACCACCGCGAAAAGCACGCTGTATCGATCAGTAACAAACGGACGCGTTCCAAGTAGACGGGAGACATAGCGAGAGCACATAGGTGGTAATAATGTTCACGAAATCCATGGCGGCCTGGGGTTAGAGTAGTCGGCATGATCAGAATGTGGGTGAAGGCAGGGTGGAAGGGCGTGGGGATTGGGGAATGTGGGGGTGCCTGATTCAGGCTGGAAGGAGGTGCTGGGTCAATCAGGGTGGTGACTCTTGCTTGCTGGGTGAGGAGGGGGTGGTTTTGCTCGAGGGTGACAAGGGTCAGCTAGGTTCATCTCAACGGGAAGGTTGGGATGAGAGGGAAACACCTGGCCCCCCTTGGGACCAACGACGACGAGCGACAGAATGGGTGGCAAACTCCTGGGCCCGGTTCGGCAGGCATTAAAAAAATGGTTTCCCCGTACGGGCTACAGTAAAACGACCACCCTGGAACCTTCTTTGATAAGCGCGCGAAAGGTTATCTAGGCTCGATATAAGCGGACCAACACCGAACCAGACAATAATGGAATGCCAGCCGAACACCCCTTTTAACGCTGGCATTTTTCACAAGTGGAACCTTCCTCGAACCCTTTTTCTCAGGCAAACTGTCCATTTTCTCATCCGCCGCACCATGCGGCCTCGAGGTCCCGCACCATGCGGGGGATCATTGATTCGGGGCAATCACACTTTGCACTGAAAAAAATAAATCCCGGTCTTTCTCACCCCTCTTCGTGCCCGCTGGAAAATCGCACATCCCACAAACACAAAATCTATAACACATCGAACGCACAGTATGCCTTGCGCTTTTTTTTTCGACGTCCGCCGCTGCTTTGCAGAGCTGCCCGGGCTGCCCTTACAGTGATTCTATGCTCCATCAGCGCAGCTGCATACGGGCTTCTCAGAAGTGTCATTTCCAATGGCGCCATTAATTTCGGCCCATTTAATGCCAACCGAACACTCGGGCCATTGTTTACCGAAGTTTCACTGCAGCTACAGTCTGTTTCTTGGGGCCATTTTTTGGGGGCCCGTTAAAATGGCCGATAATGGCGATAATGGCCATAATGCCTGCCGAACTGGGCCCTGCTCGACATGCAGGGGCCAGCGACGGGAGCGACGGATGCAAAATCCGTTGAGACAACCCCGAGAGAACATCTCAACGGGGTTAGGGTTTTTCGATATCTGGCGAGTAACAGTGTGTCCACGCGAGCAACGAAAACATCTCGCCACGAGATTGCGACATGTGTTACAGATGGCCCATTTGGACAAAATTAGTTAAGCGTAACAACGAATACACTTTCTGAACACTTTTTTCCAATACAACATGACTTGACAAAAAACGATGGAAAGCATGTTCACCGAGGAAAAAAACATGACCTTCTCATGCACAAGATGCATCATATGGCGTTCATCGCAAGTTCCCCCAAGCGAAGCAGCCCGTGCAACGTCGCCAGCACGCACGACAAAAAACATCATATGCAAGACAGGAAATGCACTTAACCACAACAGAAGTTATCACACGCGGACGTACAGTAGTCAACTTTGTTCTTGCACGCTGACGACAAAAACATTTGTGTCAACACACCTCGTCAGAGGCATGATCTAGAGCATGCAGGAAAGTTCTCTCACGCGAACGCAGTGCATTTCGTGTTTGCTCGCAGACGACAAAAGAATATCACGTGCAAAACTTAATCACGTTCGGCTGCCCGACGAAATTTGTACTTCAAACTTGCCCACAACACGGTTTTATCTCATGCATACTCATTTTTGTTCACACCCAGACGGAAAAACCAAATATCGTTCACACCTATATATACTATGTACTGTACAGTAAGACAAATCTTGATAACTCTTCCCTGTCAGCACGCACGACAGCGCGGGACAACGAATATTCTGTGGACACTGTATGTGCAACTGCTGCGAACGAAAGTTTGAACATGCCCCCACGACGCAATTTTCTTACGCGAAACATGCGTTTCCCCGTGCACGTCCACGCCACCCCATCAACGCCTCTTCACTCGACCCACCATCAACCCTCGTCATACACATTGCACCTTCCGCATGAGTACACCCTGTTTCTCAACATTCTAACCTGGCGCGACTCGTCGCTACGGTGCTTGTCTCTTGCGATCTGGTGCCATTAAACATTCCAGCAACCTGGGGGGAAAAGCCGAACCGCTCAAGGGCGTAAAATTTCCGTAACTGCTGTATACCCTTCCCAACCAAGTAAAAACGTTGACAAAGCTTTTTGCAAAGTGCATCACCTTACCTAACCGCATTTTTTGCATTGTGCTTTTACAGTACTTGACAAGACCGTTTTGAACGTAGTGACGTTCTACAACCTGTTTATGTTATGCAACCAGATGCTCTGCTAGCGCGAAACAAGGTGTACAAAATACGTCACGCATACAAAAACGGCCGACACATCGGGCACATCGGTCAGTTTCCTTCTGCATAAGCAGATTTTTTTTTTCCTGAATGGTGAGGAAGTTGTATCTATCATCCGCACACGCAAAGTTTTCCAGCTGATGTGAACAACAAAAAAGGAGAAACTTGACCACGTTCGTGAGTGTCGTTGTGCGCTGAACTCCTGCGCATAGAAGAATAATAAGCGGCACCTTTGCACGCTCGACTTTACCGTTGTACAAAGTATGCTTTAGGTGTGCGTAACATTGCTCCAGGAGACAACCTTTGTTAAGCATTAGAAAATCCTTTGGAGAACCCCTTGCAACACTTGTGTTTTGGTTTTCTACCTCGTGCATAGATTGAGTTTGCGTGTGCATTAAGTGTACGAATGGGGTAAATAACAAATGCTATGCGTATGATGGGCTAGAACATCGGGTGCAGAAGCGTGCAGCCGAAATTGCTTCCGGTCAGGTATTTCGTTTGGCTAGCGAAAACCAGGCGATCCGAGGCGATGTGCGCGAACTGTCAGACACACTTGCGACACTCGCTGACGATGCTTTTTTGCCCGCATGAACTTCTTCGAGAATTCCGATGTAACGTCTTTGCAGAACATGAAGGTATATGCGTCCACGTTAAATGCTTTCTCTTGCCGAAGATGACATTTTCATGCCTGACACCGTTGTCTCATCCCCATGCGCATGTTGTTTTTAAAACACACGCATGCTGTACACCTGATGCCTGTTTGAGCCCCTCCCGGTTGCCTTACGAAGGGGGCGTATAAGCTGTCACGAGCATTTCGCATAAGTTTCGTCAATTCGCAGCTAGCTAAAAAGGATTCGCATGTGCTTATAAACAAGATCTGTAACCTAGTTTGACTTCAGTCTCTTCTGCTTGACTTCGGTCTGTACCTAGTTTGACTTTGGTCTGTTCGTTACTATTGGTTGATAACCACGCGACGCGCTTGTAATGTAGGTGCATAAGGCTGGGGAAACGACCTCGGGTGCAGCGTATCCATCCAACGCAGGGCAAATTCGCGTGCATGGGGTGAGCATCAGCTGTACAAGAAACTGTCCACGAAACTGTATCTTGCACGTCCCCACGCGCGACTTTTGTTGTCACATGCGACGCGCGTGCATCTGGCTTGTCAGCGTGCTCAGACAAATACTGTACAACACGCGCACCCACGCAGAAGGCCTGTCTGTCAACGTGCTGCATTCATCATCGCGTTCGGATGCTGGCACATGACATTCGCAAAGATACGGTATATTTTTCGGTAAGCGAGTTTCCTGCGGACGATGTTTTTTACACCTTTCCACGAGCAACACCTTCGCCACATGCGTCAGTGGTGTCATTTTTATGTCTGACACCATTGTACACCGTTTGTCACCCCCGAAATAAATAACCTCGCGCGTACACACATTCTGTACTCGCAACTTTTCCAGAACCAGTCAAATATCTTTCACACGTCCTTTTTACATGCGCAAACGTTTTGTATGGTAGGGACTTTTAACCCTGTGCGAATCGTGTATTAGGTGTGCTAAAATGGGTCTGGAAAAAAATGTTAAGCACATGATCCATTGTGTTTTCTTTCTACCTTGTGCACGGGGTGAGTCTTCCTTTGCGAATTCTGTCTGTTGGGTCTGGAAACCTTGCAACAGTTCTAAACGACAAATACATCGTGTGATCTGTCGCACGACAAAAAACCACACGTACCTTCCCAGAACAACAAAAAACAGTCGCGAGCATATACAAGGTAGAAAAACAAAAAAAAAAACCTTTGCAACACTTGTATTTTCGTGTTCGTCAGAGGCGAAATGTACTTGCCCACGACAAAAAATCTCTCACGCAGAAGTACTGTAGTTACTTTTGAGTTCACACGAAGACGACAAGATATAACCGTGTGCACAGCACACCTCACCTCGCCGTCAGATGCATGATCTGCTGCATGACGACAATTGTGCAAACGAAGTTTGGCCATCTTCGTGTGCAGAACTTGTTCGTGGGCAGAGTTAGGTGTGCACCCTTTGTGTTAAGTGCGGTTTTATGTGTGCGTAAGGTGTTTTGAAATTTTAACATTCGGTGGAAAAATCCTATGTTAAGCATAGGATGATTGGGTTGGATCAATGTCTTGCGGCGTTTATGTTTCTAAATTGTGCACGGGTAATTTTTGCCTATGCACGTCCTTTTTTACGTCAACACATTTAGTTAAGCATAGGCTCATCTGTTTTTTTTTTTTTTTTTTCGTTCGCGAACGCTTTGATGGTAGGGGATGTAGGGTCTGCGCAACGTCAGTGTAGCTTGCTGACGGAAGACCATTTCGTGTGGGGAACGAACGTCCACGTCAATTCGAGGTGCACGTGGCAGCAGGGCAGAGGCCGTGGTGATCACCTTGTGCATGGTTCCACGTCCAGCTCACGCCTTGCTCACGCCTAACGAGTGACGACGTTGACGAAGCCAGCGACACTCGTTGCATGCCCCTCGCCGGACGATTTGTTTCGTCAAGGTGAGTCGCGAGCGTGTCGCAACGTTCGCAAGGCATGATTTTGGCAGGGTTTGTTTTTGTGACCTGTAGATTTGTGTTCGCATATAGTTTCGCGAGACGGTTCTCCTGAAAATTGCTTTCGCTGAACCAGGTTGCTTTCCGCGTCGCCGATTAGGAACATGCACCAGGGGTGCGCGTGCTGCGGGTCCGGACAAGCCCCAGCTGGCGGGGTTTCAGTTCCGCCGACCAGTCGCTGGGAGAGCGACGGGAGCGTCGCTCCCACGGGCAAAACGGGAGCGACGGAATGAGTTCCGATGAGACACACAGACGAAAGTGGGGCGGGGAAGGATTGCGCCAGGCGGAGCACGGGTGACAGAAAGTGGCGGAAGTACAGGGTAGCGCGTCAAACTTTTTTTCGATCACGCGATGTCTCTGGAAAGAGTGTTTGAAGTTTAAGTTATGGTTTTTAAAATTGACATGTAATTCAGTGGCGCCATGCGTGTCGCACTGTAATTGATTACTTTAAAAGCCAGTCTCGCGATCTTAGATAAGCATTATCTTCGTCATCAACGCGCCACTGAGAAGGTCTGCATGCAGCAAAACTTCGTGGTGGTGGTCTAGAAAAGCAAGAGAGCCAGTCTTCAAGAAAATTGTCTGGCTTCTGCTTGAGCCGTAAAGAGTTGTTGTGGTCCCGCGTTCTTCTGCGTGCTTCTGCGAGGTTCTATGTGGTTGAATCAACAATGTGGCTCGCTGGGGAAGGTTACTTCAAAGTGGCTCAAGGATGGGCCTCGACTCGACACTAATGATAATGTACATACACTTCCGTTCATTCGAATCTGGTGTGTCTATGAGTTTATCCTAAACAAAGTTTTGGCTCATCAATACTCCGAACCAAGCTAGGTGGCTTGGGAAGGGGAGCCGGGATGAATAAACACGTTCGTCGAAACTGGCATGATTTCATCACCTCTTATCAGCTCTCAATATTGTCATATGCTGCTTTTTGTGAAGTTTGCCGTATTATTTCCAGCTTGGAAGTCTTGCACAGCTTATAAAGGTTAGAGCTGTGGATCTGATATGTTACCCGAAATGGTCAATCTGAAAGTTGGTAATTTCACAAAGCAATGCAACAACAATGAGAAGAGCAATAAAGAGCTGTACACATCCACAAAATTCCATGCAGTGTCGTGAGGATATGGCAGAAGCTGTACAAGCTCACAGCTAGCTACACACAACCCCATCCAAAGCACATACCGGTAAGGAACATAAACTCAGGACAAAAATGAACAGTGGGAGGGGACAGAGCCGTGCTGGAAATAGCTCAGCAACACATACACCGCTGGCAAAATTGGATGCTGTACAGAGAGATGTACAGTGGTAGACAGTGGTGCACAGCTGTGCACGGCAGTAGCAGGAACCATGGGGGTGAAGATTGAAACAAAATTTGGCAAAGATGGGGAAGCAAACCCCTGAAGGCAGAGGCAGGAAGGAAGGTGAGCAACCCGCATCAGAGGAGAGGGGAGGACTAAAGGAGGGAAGTGCTGCCGTTGCAGGAGCCGAGACATTTCGTGTGTCTAGGGGAAGATGCCGCGGACATGGTAGGTGCGAGCGATGCGCTCAATGGCTATGAGGTATGCTGCCGTGCGGAAGGAGCAGCCCTGGTGGGGCGGCACACCGTCGACGCCATAGTGGGCGCGGGCGGCACACCATCGACACCACGTTGCGGGAGGAGCAAGGTGACTGATTTCCTCCTCTCGCATGGCGTCCATGGGGAGAGGAAAGGCGTGCAGTGATGACGACAGGGGAGGGGCGATTTCTCGCAGCACGCAAAACAAGACAGCCACACACGAGCATCTGACACACGAGCATCTGACACACGAGCATCTGATACACGAGCATCTGACACACGAGCATCTGACACACGAGCATCTGACACACGAGCATCTGACACACGAGCATCTGAGTGCAAGCGTGCTTAAACTTGGTGTAATATGGAGCGGGAAGGACGAGCCAGCGGGCCAGCACAGCAGCAACACGAGCGCCAGTCCCTCGTCACCTCCTCCTCCGCATCTCATTGCATTGCATCCACTCCCTTCCCCTCCTCGTCCTCGCCTCACCTGGTGGGCAGCGCAGGCAAGGCGAGTGGTGCAGCGCAGGGTGAGTGCCACGTGCCGTGCCACTGCTGCACTTGGAAGGCAGGAGCAAGCACAGCGCAGGCGGGGGCAGCAGAGGAGTGAGCGCAGTCATTGTGGCAGTGGAGAGGAGTGGGAAAGATGGGGAAGCGGGAAAGGGGGTGGGGGCAGGGAACATGGGGTCTGGTTATGGGCGCCCGGGGGAAGAGGACGGGTAGGGCGGAGCAAGGCGGGTTCACCAAGGAAGCATGCTTTGGTGGTGTGCCACAACACCATACATCCACCTTCCTTCTAATTCCTCTCTCCTTCCTTCCTCCTGCCCACTCACACCCATCCCACATCCATCCTCGCTCAACCACTCCTCGCCATCCTCTTTACTACTCAACTCCCCTTACACCTGAACTCATGTCCCCTTCAGCCCCATCCCTCCTCCCCACTCACGCCGTCATCGTCGGTGGTAAAGTCAACGAGCGGCCCCAAGGGGTACCCTCGCGGCGGTGGTGCGAGCGGGGCATGATGGAGCAGAGCTGCGCTGCGTGCAGAGATTGAACTTTGGCAATTCAGAGCTGACACTGTCGAGCGGAAGAGACCTGAGCGGAAGGCACTAGAGAGCATGACCAGTGGGAGTGGCAGCCCATGGGTGCGTCCAACACCCCCAGCCACTGCCACTCACTCGCCCTTCCCGCGCCACTGCCACTCCCCCGCCCTCACTGCGCCATCGCCCGTAGAGGTCGCCAGCAGCGCCGCCCCGCATCCGCTTCCCCCGCGCCCCCTGCAACAGCTGCGCGCCACACCCTCCGCGTGCTGGGGGGAGCGCGCGCTGTGCTTGGCGGAGTGGCGCAGCAGTCGGTGCGGAGAAGGGACGCGGCGGCTAGCGAGTGGGCGGAGGAGAGTAGGCGCGCGCGTTGCAAGGGTATTCTGGAAAAGAATGGGACCGGGGGGTTGGCGAAGGCGGGAACGGAACGAGAACAGGGATAGGGGGGGATGGGAGAGGAAGCAGGGAACAGGAGGGAGGGAGAGGGACAGGCGAGAGTCGAGAGCGGGGGGAATGAGGAGTTAGAATCAAGTGGGGAAGAAACGCGGTAAGGAGGAGGACAAGAGTACTGAAATGCTGTTCATATCGCAGCAGCATATGCGGCCTACACCGCACCGTTCCAGCTTGCGATAAAGCGCGCATGGCTTGCGAAAACGCCGCATGTATAGGATTCGATGGCTGGTGCCCCCCAGGGTTCGCTCCGCCACAATCCGCCTCGTTTTGGTCGAATGTGTTGTTTAGTCACTATAAAATACAGTACGTACTAAAATTTAGTACGTAGTGCATTTGAGCAAATGTCAGGGTTCAAAAATGCCGCACTAAGAAGTTCACACGGTTCGAAGTTCCTGATTGTACGCGAGCGCTAAGGTAACATGTCAACGTAGAGTCGGCGCGAACGACGCGCTGCCAGCCGCGCACGGCGATGCCGCACGAATCTCGGCCCGCACGCTCCGTGCTTGCCCACGGCGCGTCGTTCTCGCCGTGACTCGTCGCGCGCTCGCCAGGTCACTTCGAAGCGCCCTCGACGGCTCGCGCCATGCCAGCCTGCTCGTCCCGCGCCGCTGCCGCCCTCGCCTCCGCCGCACCCGCGTACGTCGAACCGTGCGCTCGACATGCGCCAGCGCGCGCAAGCCGCCTAGGAAACGCGAGTCGTTCCGCCCCGCTGTTGTGCCGACGCTCCTTCGGCTGCTAGATACGGTCGTGTGCCGCCAACCGTCTGGCACACGACCGTAACCCTACCCACTCTATTCCGAGAATCAATGCCACGTGGCACTGCCACCGTACCTCCGCGTTGTAACGTTTTCTTCGTTCTCACACGCTCCCTTGTGTCGCGCTGCCTTTCCTTCCCCCCGTCCGCGCCAGCAGCGCATTGGCGGGCGACGAACACAGCGCGTGCGCGGCGGAGCTGCTGCGGTTCCTGGAGGAGGTGAGTGTGGGGGGGTGTGACTGTAAGCAAGTGAGTGAACGAGGTGCGATTACGAGGAGGTGAGTGAAGTGAGGCGAGCATATGGCAGAGAGAGAATGTCAGTCGTCACTGGTGAGGGGATGTGTGCTGCCTCCACCCCACCTGCTCCCTCCCTACAATGTGTCAGTCGCAGCCGAGATCGCCGCCTGTGCAGCGCTTTCCAACCAGCCCTACCTGCAGGCATGTCATGTGTCCGCTTAACCAGCAATAGCTAAGGTTTGTGTTGCCAACAAGAGTGGGTGCAACTGGGTTATAAGCGGTGCACTGCACCCGCACTGGCTCGCGTCTGTGCTCATGTGTTCATGTTGTCTTGTGTTGATGTTGCCATGTGTCGATGCTGTCATGTGCTGATGTTGCCACGTGGTGATGTTGTCATGTTCACATGTTGCCATGTTCCCATGTGTGCATGTGGTCGTGTTCTCATGTATGCATGCTGCCGTGTTCTCATGTATGCATGCTGCCATGTTCTCATGTATGCATGCTGGCATGTTCTCATGTGTCCATGCTGCCATGTTCTTATGTGTGCATGTGGCTATGTGTGGGCCGGGGGTGCAAGCAGGAGGTGAGGGATGCGCTGGTGAGGGAGAGGGCGCGTCTCATGGACCACCTCACAGCGCTGCCCTTCCTCAAGCCCTTCCCCAGCCACGCCAACTTCATTCCCTGCGCCCTGCACAACACCCACTGGACTGCCAAGCAGCTCAAGGTAAGTTACTGGTATGCCTGCACATATCATAGAATATGTTGAAGTGATGCTGGGACAGCGTGTATGTTACCAGCACGCAGCAGTCACTGACTGCGTGTGCGGTGGTGTGTGATGTTGGGGTGGGAACGGTGGCATGTGGGCAGGAGGAGCTGGCAGGGCGGGGCATCATGGCGCGGCACTACAGCCAGCCCAACCTCTGCAGCTACATTCGCATCAGCGTCAGCAAGCCTGAGCACACAGATGCACTGTAGCACTCTCACAGTTAACTTAGCATAGGTAAGAGAATTTGTCTGAAAACACCTGCATGGAGGTAGAGCCAGCATAGCAATGTGTGAGGGACATGCAAGGTGCAGACAATGAAGTTCCAGCTTTGCCGAGTCTATAAGTATGTGAGACTGCCACAACACACACTATATGCAAAAATTAGCATGTATGCAAAGTAAAACACGCTCCTAAAATAAAGGCACTAAATCAAAACCCAGCTAGCATAATCTAGATACAAACCATACATCGATTCAACTTCACGGGTCTTTAAGCACTTTTCCCTGTCAAAGAGATGGCTGCAATGTAAAACGTTCAATACCGACAGCATCTTCAGTTTGGTCAGGTCCTTTGGCAGTGCTTGAAGGTGCACGCAAAAAGCCAGATCTAGTACCGCAAGCCTGGTCAAGCGCTCAAAGTTGGGGGGAAGCAAACGAATTGACGTGTTACGCAAAACCAGCTTTCGGAGGCAGGATAGCTGGGTAAGAGATGAAGGAAGGTGCTCCAAGGCAGCACAGTTGCAAAAGCTGAGTTTCTGCAGCCTGGATAAAGAACCGATGGCTTCAGGAATGGAAATAAACTTGGCTTCATGAATCTTCAAACACATCAGGTGCTGAAGCATGGTGATCGATGCTGGCAGCTCAGTCAGCGACTCCGCACTCCATAACTTCAGCTTCCGTAGCTGCTGCACTGCCAATCCAAGGCATGGAAGTCCCTTCAGGCTCTTGGCGTTTGAAATATCCAGGGCGTGCAGGTCAGGAGAAAATCTCAAGCGAAATGGAACCTCCTCAGCATCTTCTTCCAATGCCATGTTCAAGTGCTTCAAACGCAGCAAGTTTCTGCTGATCTCCTCTCCAAACTCCACATGACCCCCCAACGTCAAGTTCCGAGACCAGCTTTTGTAGTGACCCAAGCTCAAAGTCTCAAGGGAGGATGGCAACACCTCTGGAGGTTCAAACGGAATTGCAAATCTTGGAAGCTCCAAGACTTTCAGCTTCTTACAGTTGTCCAGCCTCTTGGGTACCGAAATCCCTTCAGAACGGCCAATCGCCAACACTTGTAGATCAACAAGGCACGTAATAGCCTCTGGCAGCCTTCTGATAGCGCAGTCGCTAATGGTCAATTCTTGCAGCCTGCTCAGCTTCCCTATGTCTTCTGGAAGCTCGCCTATCATGCAGTGATGGAGTTTCAGCCGCTTCAAAGATGAGAGCTGCATGAATGAGGCTGGAAACTGCTGCTGGCCGTAGCTGCTATTGTCAGTCAGGTACAGAAAAAGAGTCTCGAGATTAGTGAGCCCTCCAATGTCCGTTGGAAGTGTTGTTAATGGCAACCCCTTGAGGACCAGCTTCGTGATAGCTGTTAACCTGCAGAAATCGGCAGGTAGCTGGCAAACGGTTCTGCAATTGATCAGAACCAGTGTTTCCAAGGACACCAGTTTACAGAAGGAATCAGGGAGGTGCAAGATAGGCAGCTCATACAGCACCAATGCTCTCAGAGCAGGCAGTCGGCCGAAGTTGTCAGAGAGGCTGGAAAAAGATTTGCTTCCAGAGATCGTCAGGCTCTCCAGACAACTTAAAGCAGAGAAGTCATCAGGCAGCTCAACGAGATCTGTGCAGCGGATGCTAAGCTCCTGAAGAGACGGTAAAAGCTCCCCAATGCTGTCAGGAAGGCGCTCGAACTGCTTGCAATTAACAATCACCAGCCGCTCAAGTCGACCACACAGGTCAAACGTCAGGTCAAATCGCAGACCAGTGACTTCAGGCCCTTCGTTAAATTCCAGCGACTTCAGACCAGGCAGCCATGCTATGTCAAAAGCAATAGGGGTCGAATTAGCTGAATGCGTGAAATCCTTCTCTGCGAAGAAGGAAAGGCTTGTAAGATTCACATGCTGAGATAGGTTTGATAGTTGCTGATGTTGAAGATATGGAGAAGTAATGGACAGAGCAGTGAGCGAAGTCAGGTTCGTGAAATCAGGAACATCTAAAGCTGAAGAATCTGGTAGAACTAGACTCTGGAGATTTGTGAGGTGGAAAAACGAGGCAGGGAGCCTGACGCTCTCATGAAGGCAACGGAGTGAAAGATGCTCAAGCTGAGTAGACTGCTGGAAGAAACGTTCCAAACCAGCTTCACTGATTGGGTGCAGCTCCTTCCTCTCATCAAAGTCCGCTGTGATCCAGTATCCGGCGTGGAACGTCTTAAGCTTGGGGCATGACGAAGCAAGGTGGGTGAGAAACTCGTCATCTAGACTCTCTACACTGCCGTCGCACAGATGGAGATGGGTCAGGTTTGGGAAGCAAGTGATCGCATTGGAGAGATCACGAAGAGACAGTTTCAGTCCCTCTCTGACTAGAAGCGTTGAAACGTGATGCTTAGCTAGGCGGCGCCATCGCTGGCAGACAGCTGCGATCTGGAGAGAGAATGCTCCATCCGTGAAGGCAGGCGGGGTCGGCACCAAGGTTTCTGGTTTTCGAACACCCACAGCAAATTCTCGAGCAGGGTCAGACCAAACTGCATTCGGCTTTACATGCAATTTCTTGGTAGGAAGAAGCCATAGAATCCGGACGAGAAGGTCGTCAGGAAGGTTATTAATGTGCTTGCAACTCTCCATATCAACTTTCTTAACTCAAGAACGACGATTGCTGCAGGAATGAACGACTAGTGAAGACGTGCTGAAATGGGAACGGAGCGGGAATAATGGATCTAACAAAACACAGATCTACAAAACACAGATCTCACTAACCCGGCTGTGCTGCTTCGATGACGATGGAGCCTGCCTGTGGGCTCCAAACGTAGCAGCCGCAAGGGTTCTTCAAACGCTAGGCTTCACGAATTCCCCAAAACGAACCGCGCCGTGCGTTTGGAGCACCCAGACTCCTCCTCGCTCCTGCATGAAGCCATGAGCTTCCCAGGTCACGAGCTATCACGGATCTGACGGATCTGAAGTGAAATGTGGGCCCAGCTGGCTTCATCTCGTGCTGGCTTGGGGCTGAGGTGACATGGGCTGGGCGAGTGGGGCTCAGTCGGAAAGGTTGTGTACGGTTCATTGCTGCTGATGCTCGGCTGGAAAATAATCAATGACACTCGCGTCGGAAAGGTTGTGTACCGATCGATGCCTTCCTTCGCGAGTGATTCTCGCGGGAAAGGACTGTTCGGGAATTCCCCCTGCACCCTGCCTCTGAACCGTCGGATGTGCAACAAGCTAGTTCGCAAGCGCCAGCAGTCAATCTTATGTAACCGCCCTCACAAAGGCGAACGGACGAAAGCGGCTGACGATTCGCGGAAGAACTCTACATCGTCAGGGAATTGTTCACGATTTCTCAACACTGTCATGGGACGACACGACGCGTTTTGCAGCATACCGCACCGCACCGAAGCGGACGCCTTTGACAAAGTGACCTTCGACTATCACATACAATACTAGCTCGCATCAATTACCGCACTTAAGTTCACAGCTTCATGACAGACCCAACTACGACGGCTTCAAGGCGAACGCTTTAGCAGCACGGACTCCCAATGCGAAACGAGTTGCGCTCGTGAGATGAGGGAGCAACGCAGACGATAAGGAAGCAAAATGTCCTCTCCAGCAGCGTCTAGACTCTTACGGAATGGCTTTTCGGGTGGGCACGGCGACATTGCACCGCGGCTTTACGAGGCTCCGTTGTACTAGTCCTCACGCCAATGGTGTTCGTGATGCTTCAAATGCCAGCATCACAATCCACAGTCGACTCATTCCCGGCAAGCTTCTCTTTAGAGGCTCCGCGCTTTCGAGTCGTCGCACCGTCGCTTCGCGTCCGCTCGAGTGATGGGCTTCAGGTTTCGACATAATTGCTTCGCCAACGTTTTGAAAGCGTGTCCGTCAAGCATGTGAATCCTTGGTCGCACCGTCCCACCGTCGCACCGTCCCGCATGCTCTGAAATCTGGTCGCGATCGACATCATCGCTCTAGCACTGTTGTAGGATCACATCCGTCGATGGATGACCCTGTTTTTGAGTCGACTCAAAAACAGGCTCCGAAAGCTGGTCTCTATCGACATCGCTGCTCTAGCTCTGTCGTAGGATCGAATCCGTGGAGGGATGACTCGATTCGCCTCGTGAAGCTCTGGCGCATCATGCTCTGCTGTATGCCCAGTAAGCACTCGAACGGACTGACGCGAACGGGTTGGCGCGAACGGGCTGACGCCAACGGACTGACTTGAACGGAGCAATGCAAAATGCGAATGGACTGACGCGAGAGGAGACCGGCGATTTTAGAGCGGCGGTTGCACATACCGGCGATGCTAAGCAGCGGATGCACGGCGTGCGTGAACGTGGGTCGGCAAGTGCGAGGGCTGCGAGTTCTGAGTCGACTAAATACGCGCTGGTGAACAGCGGATGCACTGCGTGAGTGAACGTGTAGGGTCCGCGAGTGTGCGGGTTGTGAGGATAGCCGGGAGTTGGGGAAGCTGATGTGGGGAGAGAATAGGTGGACGCACGGACCGGTGATGCTAACCAGCGGATATGCACGGCGTGCATCAATGTGTAGGTTCGGCGAGTGTGGGGTTGCGCGGACAGATGGTGTGAGCCGCTAATACGGATCCGCCACTGCTGACACCGCCACTCACATCAACAAACGGGTTGGTAATCTCGTCAGGATACCCACACAGCTTGCGTGCGCTGCACGTCCTCGTGGTGAAGGAGCATGCGGACCGAGCAGAGAGGAAGCCGCTGCAGCGGTACCGCCCGTCCCAGTACTCCGTGGGGGTCGCGCACAGCTGGCAGGGCGGCAGGGGGCCGAACAGCATGCCGTCCGCACACCGCTCCCTCAGGGCATCCTCGCTGCCACCTGGCTCCTGCTGATTGGCCTCCAGCATGGCACGCATGCCACACTCAGGTGCGCGCGCAGCTTGTCCTTCACCTCCCACACCCGCCTCGCCTGCTGCTCCAACGCCCGCTCTAGCTCTGCGCTCATCTTCCCTTCCCCTGCCTTCCCTGCGTCCTGCGGCTTCACGTCCTCCTTCCCCTTCCCCTTGCGCTTGCTGTCTTCCTCGCCTCCTCCGTCCTGCTCCGCCCCCTGCTGCCGCTTCATGGGGGGCTCTGAAGGGCCGTGTGGGGATGGATGGTGATGGGTGGAGGAGAGGAGAGGGTGGCAAGGAGAAGAAATCATGGAGACATGGAAACGGTGCATGCAGGTTAATACTTACCTCGTACTTCGACCCGCTGCAGCCATTGACCAGCGATACACCCTACCTTCCCCCTTTCCCACCCTACACTCACCTCCGCCCTTGCCCTTCCCCTTAGCACCCCCTCCCAGTATCTCCAGCAGGCGCTGTTGGTCGTCCTTCTGGATCTCGCCCCACCCCTGCACGCCCTGCACGCGCGCCCCCTCAGGCCAGATGCCCTCGTTCGCCACACACGCCGCATGCCGCCATGCTGGCACGCCCCCATCGCCCCTTTCCCTTCACCGCCCACACCACCCTCACATGTAGTGGCAGTCCTGCTCGCCGTCCCCCGCCATCACCCCCACCAGCACGCACAGCCCCGCGCCAATCTCCGCCCCTCCACCTGCACACGCCCCGCATGCTGCATACGGGGAGGGGGAAGGGGTTGCGCGGACGGATCAGGGCGGCGCAGGTTGGCGAGGGCGGGAGAGACGGACGGGGGAAAAGGGGAACAGACGAGGATTAAATGTTGGAGAGGAAGGAAAGCGGGAGCGGAGGGGGAAAGGGAACTGTCGGCGGGCGTGGCAGCAGTCGGCGCACCTCGATGCGGGCGGAAGACACCGGTTGGAAATCAGTCCGTGCCGCCTGCTGCACGCAGTTTCGTGGAGGAGCAGCGCGACTAGGCGCTGTTGTGCACTGGCGGCGATGACGCGTGACGAGGGGAATCAGCCCCAGCACTCGTCCGTGCTCGTCCGCACCATTCGGGGTTTCCCTGCTTCCTTCTGCGACAGCGCGATGCTAGCATGGCCTACCCGCCATCGTGCGTCTTGGTCTCACGTCGCAGAAGCGTCGTGGTGCTGATTGTGGCGCATTTCCAATTTTATGAACTTCGCTGTAAACTGCCTCCATAAGGCTGGGTAACTAGATATTCAATATGTTTACAAAATGTACACTCACAGGACGCAATGGGACATACTGTAAGCTCAAATCTATCTCATCTGCTTCCTTCCGTAGCAAGTGCCGCACGCACTGCACTTGGCATCTTTCACACAGATCAATCATGCGTCATAATGCTGGGAACGATATGTGGCGTCATAGATTGCAAGGGCCCTGTTGAGACGTCTCATAAGTGGGCATGGTTGGGGATTGGTGAGTGGCATGGTGTGGTGTCATTGCTTGTAGGGCCCAGTGTAGCGCACCCAGAAGGCAGCACCGCCAGGGCAGCACCGCCAGGGCAGTACCGCCAGGGCAGCACTGCCAGGGCAGCACCGCCAGAAAAAGGGGCATTGGCTTGAGCTGGTCGAGAGGGGAGTGGGCGTTGAACAGACCAATCTCACACAGCCTGTGGGTGGGGGGAGGCGAGGGGAGAGGAGACAGGGCGGAGAGGAGAGGCGAGAGCAAGGAGACGTGGGGGGGGGCAGAGGTGTGCGCCTGCCAGCACGACCATGCGACATTTGACATTTGGCATGGTACAAGGGCAGTGCCATACCTGACCCTCACGCTTGCCTGGATGACCACAGCCCTAGACCACTTGCATGGTAACTGAGCGGACCACCACAACCACGTACCAATTGACACTTGCCATGTGGCATGTGCAGCTAATAGCCACACCCAACCCCCCGTATCACCTGCATGAGCTGAGGTGCCACAGAGGTGTACTCGAAAGGTCCGGGAAAGTCCCGCACTGTGAGGTGCATGAGAGGCTCCACCTCACCTTGTTGCCATGTGGCATGGCATGCAGCGACCTACCACACCCAACCTCCCTACTGCTTGAGGTGCTCCACCCAGCCCGCCATTCCAGCTGCATGAGCAGCGGCACGTACGTTGTGCTTGGCATATGACAACCCCCCACCGATTACCTGCACGAGCTGTGGCGCCACTGAGAGGTACTTGAGCGGGAACATTATCGACATCTGCTCAGCTCAGTGGTGCAGAGTGGTGGCGAGGGGTGGAGATGGGCGGAGAGGAAAGAGAGGTGGGAGTGTGAGAATGCAGGAGATTGCAAAGGTAACGGAACAGTGGGAACCACATGCGAGGTGTGAGAGTGGAGTGGTGTGCATCAGCACAGCATGACATGGAATGAGCTGGTATGGAATGAGCTGGTATGGAATGAGCTGGCATGGAATGAGCTGGTATGGAATGAGCTGGTATGGAATGAGCTGGCATGGAATGACCTGGCACAGCACTGACATGCACACACAGTACTCACGTGGCTGAACTTGGCAACTTTGAATAGAATCAAACAACAACCTTCTTCTCTCTCTCATGCACCTGGTGGGAAGGGTGAGGGGTGAAGGACGTGAAGGGGGTGAAGGAGGTGAAGGGGGTGCAGGGGTTGAAGGGGATACAAGGTTTGAAGGGGGAAGGGGCGTGGCGTGAGGAACATGAGCGGGAGACATGCCACAGGTGACGGACGTTGGGGCAGCAGTGAGCAACCGGGGCCGTGGAGCAACAGCAAGGGACTAAGGGGTCGAACAGTGAGCAATCCAGGAAAGATCGAGGTTTGTGCATACATAGTGGGTGCACGGAACACGAGGAGATAACATGAGGAGGGGTGCATACCAGGGAGCGGGATAGAGCGCGCACAGCAGAGGGGACGTAAGAGCAAGGAAGCACGCAAACCAGGGCGAAGAGAGCGTCTTTGCGGAAGGTGGTGGAGAGCACTTTGTACATGCCAGGTGTCTCCCTCTTATTCATGCTAAACAGAAACACCTGCCAAGGCCAGGTGCAAAGAGAAGCGCATGCGTGCGTGGGAGGGGCGGACAGCATGTGTGGGTGGGAGGGGCGGACGGCATGTGTGGGTGGGAGGGGCGGAGGGGCATGGGGAGGAGCAGCACTTGCATCGTGTCAGCAGCAGCAGCAGAGGTATGGCACGGCTGGCACGTGTGGAGGCTGGTGAGCCACAACGGGTACGGCAGGTTGATGCTCCGCATTGCATCCACACCACCCCCACCCCCACCCTGCCCCCACCCCGCCCTGCCCCCACCCCCACCCTGGGCTGCAGAAGTTTGGGCTGTGCCGAACCTGCCCCCATCCACACCTTGGCCCCACCCCCGCCCTGTACCCACCCCCACCTTGAGCTGCCTGCAGCGGGTTGGCTGAGCGAAGACCTCAAGCGAGTCGGCAGTGATGGGCGCACACAGGAGCGAAGGGCGCAAGGGCATACACTGCTGCTGTCAGCGCCTTGAGGGAGGATGACAGGGGCATGCGCTGGTGGGGGGTGGTTTTGGTGGGGGCGGGGAAGGGTAAGGGTAAGGAGGGATGAGGCGAAGGATTGAAAAGGGGTGCATCATCCCCTCCTGCGCCTCCTGCGCTGCAGCTTCCACCGCCACTTGTGTTTGTGCAAGGCGGATGGGGAGGCGAGAGAGGGTGGAGAGGGGCGGAGGCGGAAAATGGGGGGAAGGGGAAGGGGAAGAATTGGGCAGTGCAGAGCGTTGCTGGAATAGGAAAGAGGTCGGGAGTGGGGGAGGGAAGATGGGGAGGGAAGATGGGGAGGGGAGATGGGGAGGGCCGATTATACGCAGCACGCACAACAAAACAAGGCAGCCACACACGAGCATCTGACACACAAGCATCTGACACACGAGCATCTGAGTGCAAGCGTGCTTAAACTTGGTGCAATATGGAGCGGGAAGGACGGGCCAGCGGGCCAGCGCAGCAGCAGCACGAGCGCCACTCGTCCTCGCCTCCTCCTCCGCATCTCACCGCATTGCATCCACTCCCTTCCCTCCTCGTCCTCGCCTCACCTGGTGGGCAGCGCAGGCAAGGCGAGTGGTGCAGCGCAGGGTGAGTGCCACACGCCGTGCCACTGCTGCACTTGGAAGGCAGGAGCAAGCACAGCGCAGGCGGGGGCAGCAGAGGAGTGAGCGCAGTCACTGTGGCGGCTCGTGGGCCATGGCAGCAACGAGAACACTGCTGGCGCCTGACTCAGGAGAGAGAAAGGGGAACGGGGGGAGGGGGACGTGGGAGGGAAGAGGAAGACAAGGGGGAGGGGCAATGAAAAGGGATCAGAATCACTCCAAACAACCAGTCCCTTGGGTTACTTGGGGAACGACGGAGTACGACGGGGTACGACGGGGTACGACGGGGTACGACGGAGTACGACGGGGTACGATGGGGTACAAGCAGGGAGGAGGCAGGGAGAGGGAGCACCACCTATTCAGAAGCTTCAATACCCGAGTCTTATCAAAGCATGTGGTGGTATGGTATGGAGGGAGGCGAGCGAGCGGCACAGCAAGGTGAGTCGGCTCCTCCTCGCGCATCCCTTTCATTGTGCCCTCCCCCTCCCCGCCTGCCCCTCTTCTCCCCGCCTGCCCCTCTCCTCCCCGCCTTCCCCCCACCAGCATTCACCTGCCGCCAAGCGTGCCTCGCGGATGCCGCCGCCCATCACCGTCGTCGCGCGCGCCTCCACCGGCACGGACGAGGCGCGGACGGGAGGAGAGCGAGAGCGCTGGGGTGCGGGAAGGGCGGCGCGAGAAGGTGATTGGGTCGCGGCTCTTGATCCTCACGCCGCCGCGCGAGCCCTCACACTCCGCTCCCCTCCCATCCCGCCTATTCGCCGCCGCGCCAGCAAATGAAGCAGCGGCGTTGCCTCCCCGTTCTTCGCGCCCTTGCGCCAGCATTGCGCGCAGTTGCGAACAAGAGCATGCGCGCGCGCACCACTGACGCCGTGGGGGCGAAGAAGCGAAATCTTTAGTGAAGCGCGGTCAAAGCGTCGAGAGGGCTACGCGTCGTCTGCGCCACTCACGGCAAGGGGGCGACTGGCGGTAACGTCGTAGGTGGGTGGGTGGAGGTGACGCCTGATTTCACAGAAATCAGAACGCATACTTTCGTTTTGGCGGTGACTGTTATGTGATTGTGTGAAGGGACAAGAATGATGGTGCGAATGCAAACGATTGTGCGGGCGAGAATTTGGTAACCAGGTTCAATTCGAAGCAAACGAACCGCTTCCGATTGCACAGAAAATCCTCAATCTCGTATACTCAAAATTGTGACGGTTTGATTTCTTTTGCAAACCGAGGAAGTAGAACACGAACCTAAGATGCAAACCAGCAATGCTTGTAAAGAGTATGGAACTTCCGATCGAAAATTCGAAATCCCCATAACCAAGCCTCCAGAAGCAAAGCCCAAGAGCACATTCATTTCTCCTTGGAGTTAGCAAGCAACGCGCTGCGACAATATTACTTGGCATCCTTGGAGCTAGCGTGCCACATCACACCCCCCCAGTATACCTAGGAAGTACCACTCGCCGAACCCGTGGGTCGGGTGACCCCGACCCCCAAACCACCATGACCCCTCCACTTGCCTTCTCGCGCGTACCCGTACCCACATCCCACGAAGCCGCACACACACAGCTTAGCTGGTTTCTCGTTCAGATCGATCAAAGTTACTGGCAGAAAGCTCACGTCGGCCCGCCATCCGTCGCAACGGCACGCCTCCATCCCGTTGCTCGCAGCAGCACCCTGAGCTTCGATGCAGTTGTGCTCTTGATCGATCCCGCCACTGGTGAGCACGAGATGGGAATGCGCCATTCACACCGTGAAATCGTCGGTACCGCTCCCGTCTACTCTCGTATTGCTATCAGGTTTCTCCACAGCGGCGGACGGGCAGTCGCAGGTGGGCATCAAGGTGCTCCAGGAGGAGAGGGAGATGGCGTCTGATCTCCCTGTCACTGCGTTCCCTCCCGTCTACTCTCGTATTGCTATCAGGTGTTCTCCACAGCGGCGGACGGGCAGTCGCAGGTGGGCATCAAGGTGCTCCAGGAGGAGAGGGAGATGGCGTCTGATCTGCCTGTCACTGCGTTCCCTCCCGTCTACTCTCTTATTGCTATCAGGTGTTCTCCACAGCGGCGGACGGGCAGATGCATGCCACACCATTCCATCAGCACCCCTACTGGTACCATTCTTAACCTCAACCCTCAACCATTGCATACTCGTTATAAGGGAAACGGGAAGACAATGAATAGACGAACAATGAACAAAGAAGTACACGAATTTGAAATCGACGAGCACGTACAGAGTTGTAGGCAACAAAGGGTGAACTATTACATCGCAGAACTGCAAAGCACATAAGTGACACTTCCAACTGTTGACGCATTGAATATACATCGATTTATGTGTGTATTATGATTCACAGAATAGCTCACACACCATACACTTGTTTCACTGCTATAACGCAGCAACCATTAATGTGCATCGAATTTTGGCACTGAAATATCTTCTGTGTATTTACTGTCCTGCACAGAACAATACGTAACCGTGTGATTTCATGGCTTCGACACATCATCAGCAACAGATGAAAGTCGTTTGCGCCAAAAAAGACATAAATACATGAAGCAAGTAGTCCAGGATGTCAAATTTCAATTCATTCCTGAACAGCCATCCTTTGAGTGTCTGAAGACAAACAACAGAAATTAATATTTTGGAAAGAATAACCGTATAAGGAAAGATAAAACTCAGCATGGTACGTGTCATTAGCCTATGACAAACACACATAGCCAGAGAGGGCGAGCGCAGAGCCAGACGCAAATCTGCGAAGAGGTTAGGGCGCACTCGCAGACGCGGCGGACGGGCAGACGCATGCCACACCACTCCACGCCGCTCACCCTCTCCTCCCCTCTTTCTCCTCCGTTTCTCACCCCGCTTTCGCCCCGATCTCGCCCTGCGCTCCCCTCCTCCCCCTCCTCCCCCTCTCTCTCCTCCAAGAATTCGAACCTTTTCAGGTGTTTGTCACAGCGGCGGACGGACAGACGCAGGTGGATCCAACACTCCTGCCAGCGGGGCCAGTGGATTGGCAGTAGGGGCCCTGCTCCTCACGTCGCCTGCCCTCACGTCGCCTCCCCCTCACACCCAGCACCGGCCACGCCCCCCCTTCTCCGTGTTATTGTTAGAGTGAGTGATTGTGAGTGTGAGCAACGGAGTGAGTGAATGAGTGACTGAGCGTGAGTAAAAGCTTGAATGTGTGAGTGAGAGTTTCTGAGAGTGTTAATGTGTAAGTGCATGAGTTGAGAGTCAAGGAGTAATCGAATGCAACGCATTGTGTGTCGTTGCACTGTGTACACGTAAACGCGTGCGTTGTATTTGGCGAAAAGCGTGATGCATAGTGGGACTTGCCTACGTACTTGGAATGCGCTAAATCCCTCTCCTTCCTCTCATATCCCCCTCTGCTTCCCCCCATTTCGGCCGTTGCTGATCCCTTACACCTCCCTAGGCTTCCCCTCGTTTCCTCCCTATCCCTCCCTATGCCTCCCTATGCATCTCCCATCCTACCCATCTCCTTCCCCTCCCGTCTCTCCCCACTTCCGCCCCCATCTCACCTCCATTCCTTCCCATCTCATCTCCCATCACTCCATGCCTCCTCATCTCTCTTTCCAGCCACCATCGCCCATTCATGCCTCCCATCTTCCATGGTACCTTATGTTTGTATCTACCTGTGTTCGCCAGTGTCCCCTGCTTGCCTTTTCCTCTGATCCAATTCCCCTGGCGCTCCCCTTCTCCCCACCTCCACAGGACCAATCCCTGCTGCCCTCACTCGTCTGCTGCCTCTCAGCCTGCAGAGCAACCGCCCCCCAGGCCAGGCTCAGGGGCCATTCCGTGACTGGGCCAGCTGAAGCAGGTGAGTTTATTCAGTTCCCCATCTGCTTGCATTTCCCCATCTGTCTGCATGTTCCTCTGTCACCATGTCCCCGTGCCCCGTTGTCCCCATGCCCCCTTGTCGCCATGTTCCCCTGTCCGAATGTTTCCGTGTCCCCATGCCCCCATGCCCCCCTTTCCCCGTTGCCCCCTGTCCCCTTGTCCCGCAGTCTCCATCCTATGGCCCCCTGTTCCCATGTCCCCATGTTTCCCTGTTCCCTTGTCCCCATGTCCCCCAGTCCCCAAGTCCCCCTGTCCCCAAGCCCCTCTGTCCCCATGCCCCCCTGTTCCAATGTCTCCACACTCGTGTGCGTGTGTTTGTGTGTGTGTGTGTATGTTCACACGTGTGTGTGCGTGTGCTTTGTACGTGTGTGTGCGCGCGCGCGCATGTATGGATGTGTGTGCATGTACGTGTGTATGCGTGCGTGTGCATGTGTGTGTGTGTGTGTGTGTGTGTGTGTGTGTGTGCGTGCGTGCGTGCGTGCGTGCGTGCGTGCGTGAGTGTGTGTGTGTCTTCTCTCATATATCCGCTGCTCCACATCTCTATCCTCTCCCTGATTATACTTACTTTGCCTCACCGATTCATGAATCCGGCAGGTTGCTGTTTGAGTGGAGATGGAAACGGCTGGAACGAACCTGCTGAATGTGGAGGAGTGGAGGGACAGGGAGAGGTTGCTGAACACTAGGGTACAGAATGCGGAGCAGGAAGCAGATGACGCGAATAGGGAGGCAGCAGCAGCGAGGGAGAGGGCGGAAGCTCTGGAGAGAAATCTGAATGAGGAAGTTGCAAGGCGTGATGAGTGGCTGGCTCGGGTGAGTTCCAAAGGGGGAGGTGCTGATTCCGTGGCCCGAGTTCAGGCTCAGGCGTCCGGGACAGAGAGGAGGCCCATGAGGGTGATGGCTGGGGGTCCATGAGGGTGATGGCTGGGGGTCCATGAGGGTGATAGCTGGGGGTCCATGAGGCCGGTCTTTTTTATCTCATCTGTCCCTCACCTACAACTTCTTCCCTTTTCTGCCCCATCTCATCTGCCCCATCTCATCTGCCCCATCTCATCTGCCCCATCTCATCTGCCCCATCTCATCTGCCCCCTCCCACCTGCCCCCTCCCACCTGCCCTCTCTCGTTTGCCCCCTCTCACCTGCTCTCTCGCTTACCATAGGTGATGCCATCCGTGCCCTTCCTCTTCTCTGCTTTTCAGATCACACAGCTGGAGGAGGAGCTTAGGGTGGAGAGGGAAATAGCTGAAAGCACCGGGCGGGCGGCGCACGCTGAGAGTAGGCGGAGAGTTGAGGCAGAGAATGAAGTCGGTGCACGACAACGGGAGGTGGAGCGACTGCGGGTGAGAAGGCTTTGCTCGATCGAATCTGTAGTCAATCCTCCGACGTATTCTCTTGGCGTCGACCTGACGTGTGGCCTTTTGAATCCTTGCTTTGTGCTCATACAGAAGGAACTACAGGATGCACTGGACAAGCAAGAAGATGATGAGGCGGCGTTTCAGAGTGAGGTGAGCCGGACCCGGCCTTTCTCACTTGTATCCCTCTCACATGATCTACGCGATGCGCTGGACAAGCAAAGGAACGATGAGACTTAGTCTGAGATTGTGGTGAGCAGCACGCTGTGTGGGTGGGATTGGTGTGGGATTGGGGTGTGATGGGGGTGGGATTGGTGTGCCGCTAACCATATGTGATGCCATCCGTGCCCTTCCCGTCCTCTGCTTTTCAGATCGCAGAGCTGGAGAAGGAGCTGCATGCGGAAAGGAAATTGGCTGAAAACAATGGGCAGATGGCGCAGGCGGAGTACGAACGTAGAGCTACAGCTGAGATTGACGTCGCTACATTGCAGGTGAGAATGCTAAGCTTGATTGAAAAGTTGTCAATCCTCCAACGTATGCTCTTCAGGTTAACCTTACGTGTCAACCTTTTGGATTTGGCTTTGCACTCATACAGGAGACGCTAGATGCTGTGCTGGAGGAACAGTGGAAAAGAGAGGAAGACTTTAGGACAGAGGTGAGCAGCATGAGGTGTGGGATCTGTGTAGGATTGGGGTGGGATTGGGGTGGGATTGGGGTGGGATCGGGGTGGGATCGGGGTGGGGTGGGATCGGGGTGGGTTGGGGTCAGGGTGGGATCGGTGTGGGGTGCAATAAGACGCACGCACCTGCACCTGCACCATCAACAGTAAGACGCACGCACCTGCACCTGCGCCATCAACAGTAAGACGCACGCACCTGCACCTGCGCCATCAACAGTAAGACGCACGCACCTGCACCTGCTCCATCAACAGTAAGACACGCACCTGCACCTGCACCATCAACAGTAAGACGCACGCACCTGCACCATCAACAGTAAGACGCACGCACCTGCACCATCAACAGTAAGACGCACACACCTGCACCTTCAACAGTAAGACGCACACACCTGCACCATCAACAGTAAGACGCACACACCTGCACCATCAACAGTAAGACGCACACACCTGCACCATCAACAGTAAGACGCACACACCTGCACCATCAACAGTAAGACGCACACACCCGCACCTGCACTATTAACGGTAAAACGAACACACCTGCACCATCATCATCCATGCCCTTCCCCCCGCGCTTTTCAGATTGCCAAGCTGGAGGAAAAACTCTATGCGGAACGGGAAGCGGCTGTCGGTATGGAGCGGATGGCGCATGCAGAGACCGAGTGCAGAGCCGCAGCGGAGAGGGTGGTCGCTGCACTGCGACGTGAAGTGGAGTGTCTGCGGGTGAGAACGCCATGCTCTATTGCATCTGTAGTCAATCCTTTAACGCATGGTCTTGGCGTCAACCTTATGTGTGGGTATTTTGAATCCTTGCTTTGTGCTAATACAGAAGGATCTAAGCGAGGCGCTGGACAAGCAAATGAATGATGAGGAGGAGTATCAGAGTGAGGTGAGCAGCTCGCGGTGTGGGATCGGGGTGTGGTGGGGGTAGGATCGGTGTGGGATCAGGTGGGATCAGGGTGTGACGGGTGTGGGATGGGTGTGGGATGGGTTGGGGGATGGGTGTGGGATGGGTGTGGGATGGGTGTGATGGGCGTGGGATGGGTGTGGAATGGGTTTGGGATGGGTGTGGGATGGGTGTGGGATGGGTGTGGGATGGGTGTGGGACGGGTGTGTGATGGGTGTGGGATGGCTGTGGGATGGGTGTGGGATGGGTGTGGGATGGGTGTGGGATGGGTGTGTGATGGGTGTGGGATGGTTGTGGGATGGGTTGGGGGATGGGTGTGGGATGGGTTTGGGATGGGTGAAGGATGGGTTGGGGGATGGGTGTGGGATGGGTGTGGGATGGGTGTGATGGGTGCGGGATGGGTGTGGGATGGGGATGGGACCGTGGTGAGATCGTGGTGGGATTGGTATGGGACTGGTGTGGGCTGTGATGATGAGGCGCCGATGGCTCGCCTAGACGGATGCCTTTCTCGAACGCAAGTGTGGTGGGACTTTAGGATTAGCTGCGAGGGGGAGTTTAGGGAAACGGGAGGAGGATGCATTTGTCACGTGCTCCTGTCTCACTTGCTCCCTCACTGCCTTCTTCCGTTCTGGTTCTTTCCATATCTGAAACTTTTTCTCTCCCTTTTCCTGTCAGATTCAGCAGATGTCGTGCAAGATTGTTGCACTGCAGGAGCAGATGGAGAGGAAGAGGGAGCGGATGAGGCTGGATAGTGGGGGGGATGGCGGACAGGAGGGGCGTGGGGAAAGAACCCCTGCGCGGCGCGTTCTGATTTCGGACTTCGAACAGGTGGGGCTATCAAGCCAATTGCCAGCTGCGACTGCTGACAGCGGGGAGGGGGGAATGGAGATGTGTGGCACCATAGGGCGTGCCGGCGGAGTTCATCGGGGAGGTGAACTGGTGAGGGTGTTCGAGGTTGGCTCTCCTCTAGCATCGTCTGCCGCTTCTCGTGCTGCAGCTGCTCTTACTCCGGCTGAGGCTGCATCTGAAGGTGGTTACAATACGACCACAGCAGCGGAGGTAGAGCAGATTGCTGCTCCTGAAGCGGCAACACCATTATCCCCACAAGCAATTGCACCACCATCGCCCCCAGCAGCATCACTTCCACCAGCACCAGCTGCAACACCACATGCACCTGCAGCAACACCACATGCACCAGCTGCAACACCACATGCACCAGCAGCAACACCACATGCACCAGCTGCAACACCACATGCACCTGCAGCAACACCACATGCACCAGCTGCAACACCACATGCACCTGCAGCAACAACACATGCACCTGCTGCATCACCACATGCACCTGCAGCAACAACACATGCACCTGCTGCAACACCACATGCACCTGCAGCAGCACCACATGCACCTGCAGCACCACCACCAGAAGCAGCAGCAGCAGCGGCAGCAGCGGCGGCGGCGGCGGCAGCAGCAGCAGCAGCAGCAGCAGAAGCAGTAGCAGCAGTTGTGCCACCAGCACCAGAAGCAGCACTAGCAGCAGCAGCAGCAGCAGCAGCAGCAGCAGAGGCAGCGCAAGCAGTAGCACCACCAGCACCACCAGCACCACCTGCACCAGAACGCAAGGGCAGCAAATTCTCTGGAGTGGTATACAACAACGATACTATCTACGTGAGCGTAAACATCAACGTGGACGGTGCTCGTGACCAGCACCGCGGAGGGCGGTTCGAGACCGAGGAAGAGGCTTCACCCTGGGCTGGAGCTATCCGGGTGCTGAAGACTGAGGGCGTGGAGGGGATGCTGCCGCTGGTCGAGGGTGTGTTGACTCTAGACGAGGTAAAGGCAATACAGGGAAACAGGGGGGAGATGGAAGAATTGTATGACAGGTTTAGGAATCCAAAAATGAGCGTGGAGGAGAGGCGGATGTGGGGCCGCCGAGAGGTGCTGCCAAAGGCCTTGCAGCCTCTGCACGACGCGTGGCTGCGAGGCCGGGCTATGGCAGCAGCAGCAGCAGTGACGCGAGCAACAGCAGCAGCAGAGCGAGCAGCAGCAGCAGCAGCAGGTGGGGAAGTCTTGATTGGGGCTTGACAGGAAAGTACCAAGTGGGGAGGGGGGGGGGTTGGCACGTGATGGCATGAGCAGGTGTGGGTTGGCCTCCAAGTACTCAGGTAATGGTCGTGACCATCGCACCTGAGATGGTTGCAGCCATCACCTTCGAGGAAGGGAGGAAGTAGGCGGAGCATCTGAGTGGTTGTACCTATCGAGATGTGTTGCTCTTTCACTTTGATTGTACGGTTCGGTTATTTTGTCATGTACTTCTCATTCTAAAACTACCAGGAACTTAAAGCACTAGGTGATACAAGGAGTTTCTCTGCCTAGGCTTACTGTAGGCAAGCAAAAAGGAGGACTCTAGTACCAGAACGGTTAGAAGAACTCAAAACAGCTTACCGGTATGTGGGAGCAATGCGACAGCTTATGGCATGTGCACATTTTCAGCAAACAAACTGCTCTACGGATTCACATCACATACAGGTACTAGTACGGTACCCTAAATCCACCCTCCGCGTTTGAACAGCTGAGCAGACACATGCGGTATTCTCATCTCATGCGGTATTCTCTTCTGGCATGAACAATGCAGTCAGCTCAAAACTGTGCCCTTCCTGCATGGAGCAAGACCAAGCAAGCAGTAGCCGGTAATGCTCCTCTCACCACTGCCACCTTGTCACACTGATTGGCCGTTAGCATGCCCTGCTGCCAGCACCACCCTTCACAGTGTGAGGCCGACATGATGAGTACATGTGTGACGCAGTTGAGAGGGGGCGTAACACATCAAGCAAGACCAGGCAGCAAGGGTGCTCCCTTGTCACCACGGCCCTGACCTGGACCTTTGAGTTGCCTTTCTGCTAGTAGCACCCTTCCCACCTGCAGCTGCTGTTGCTGGACCTGGCAAAGGCGTGTGAGGCTGAGACAGTCTGTGCAGGTGTGAAGCGGTTGAGAGGGGTAGTGCATGCAGATTGGACAGTCCGGCTGGTGGTGGTGGTAGGAGAGTGAGTGGCGTGCCTGGTGCCGCTGCTGCCGGTGCGGCTGGTGCTGTTGAGCTGCTGCTGTTTGTGTTGCTGCAAATAGAGAAGTAGGCACTGCTGCTGGCTGCAGGGTTTAGGGAAGGTGAGGGGAAGAAGACAAGGCCGAAGGGGACAGAGGTGAGAGAGCAGAGAGTCAGAGATAGAAAGACAAGGCCGAAGGGGACAGAGGTGAGAGAGCAGAGAGTCAGAGATAGAAAGACAAGGCCGAAGCGGACAGAGGTGAGAGAGCAGAGAGTCAGAGATAGAAAGACAAGGCCGAAGGGGACAGAGGTGAGAGAGCAGAGAGTCAGAGATAGAACGAGAAGGCCGAAGGGGAGAGAGGTGAGAGAGCAGAGAATCAGAGATAGAAAGACAAGGCCGAAGGGGACAGAGGTGAGAGAGCGGAGAGTCAGAGATAGAAAGACAAGGCCGAAGGGGACAGAGGTGAGAGAGCAGAGAGTCAGAGATAGAAAGAGAAGTGAAATTGATAGTGGAGGGCAATGGTTTTTTTGTCGACTAAAAAATAAGAAAGACAAGGCCGAAGCGGACAGAGGCGAGAGAACAAAGAGTCAGATAAGAAAAGAAGTAATATCCATGGTGGAGGGGAATGAGAATCAGTTGGGACTGAATGTAATGATGGGAATGAGAATTTGTAAAGAGCCGTGCTGCTGAGTGGCGGCAACAGTAACGACAATGTCCACCATGTTTTGTGGTGTGGTGCGGTGTGGTGTGGTGAGGTGAGCTATGGGGGTGGTGGGAAAGGAAGGGCAGCATGGCATGTGGTCAGGAGAGAGAGCAACCACATGCCATGCTGCATGTTCCCACCACAGACACCACTCGCCTTGACACCTCAACCTTCCTGCTCCCACATGAAGACCTCCCCTCACCGCACTTCACCTCACCCACCTCACCTCACCGCTCCCCTCCTGCCCCGGAACTGTGTAGCGAACTCTCTGTTATTTTATCATCCTCTTCTGCCTCACTCTCAAAGTCTCAGTGTGGCACAACATCGAAACACGACAATAAGCAAACCCTTCTTCACCTCACCGCACATTACTTCACCTCACTGCACTGCACCTGTTTCCTCGCCCGCGACTGAGCAGCTGACTCTCTGTTCTTGATCATCCTCTTCTGCCTCCTCTTAAATTCTCAAGAGACTTGGCACACTCACATCGTATCTGACATGGCAGGGCATCTCAGCAGAAGAAAAAGGAGAGTATGCCAAACACCACAGCAACCCAGAGCAGGTGAATGAGAGTATGCGCCGTGGGTTGCTGTGGTGTTTGCCTCTTCCGTGACGCCAAACACCACAGCAACCCACCCCGTGCTGAGCTGACACCTCACATCTCAAACTACATCACCCCGTGCTCACCCCTACGTCACATCACAACACATGTTGCATAGCACAGTGACTCACCAGGCAAAGGACAGTTACAGCAACGGGCCATCCGTTGCAGACCGAGAGGTATTGATCAGTGCAGTGCCGTTGGAATCACAGCAGCACCTTTCCAGGCACGGCAGTGTGCCATTGGTCATCGAGTGCAGCTCGAAGCAGCAGCGAGGCGGAGAGCAGGGGGGGAAGGGCGCGTGGGTGGGGTGGGAGTGAGTGAGCGAGTGCAGCGTGGGGGCATGCATGGGATGCCGTGCCTCCTGCGCTGCAGCTTTCACCGCCACTTGTGTTTGCGCAAGGCGGATGGGGAGGCGAGAGAGAGTGGAGAGGGGCGGAGGCGGAAAATGGGGGGAAGGGGAAGAATTGGGCAGTGTAGAGTATTGCTGGAATAGAACAGAGGTCGGGAGTGGGAGAGGGAAGATGGGGAGGGAAGATGGGGAGGGGGAGGGCCGATTATACGCAGCACGCGCAACAAAACAAGGCAGCCACACACGAGCATCTGACACACGAGCATCTGACACACGAGCATCTGGCACACGAGCATCTGAGTGCAAGCGTGCTTAAGCTTGGTGCAATATGGAGCGGGAAGGACGGGCCAGCGGGCCAGCGCAGCAGCAACACGCGCGCCACTCGTCCTCGCCTCCTCCTCCGCATCTCATCGCATTGCATCCACTCCCTTCCCCTCCTCGTCCTCGCCTCAGCGCAGGGAAGGGGCGCAGCGCAGGCAAGGCAAGTCGTGCAGCGCAGGGTGAGTGCCTCGTGCCGTGCCACTGCTGCACTTGGAAGGCAGGAGCAAGCACAGCGCAGGCGGGGGCAGCAGAGGAGTGAGCGCAGTCACTGTGGCGGCTCGTGGGCCATGGCAGCAACGAGAACACTGCTGGCGCCTGACTCAGGAGAGAGAAAGGGGAACGGGGGGAGGGGGACGTGGGAGGGAAGAGGAAGACAAGGGGGACGGGCAATGAAAAGGGATCAGGATCACTCCAAACAACCAGTCCCTTGGGTTACTTGGGGAACGACGGAGTACGATGGGGTACGATGGGGTACGATTCGGTACGATGGGGTACAAGCAGGGAGGAGGCAGGGAGAGGGAGCACCACCTATTCAGAAGCTTCAATACCCGAGTCTTATCAAAGCATGTGGTGGTATGGTATGGAGGGAGGCGAACGAGCGGCACAGCAAGGTAAGTCGGCTCCTCCTCGCGCATCCCTTTCATTGTGCCCTCCCCCTCCCCGCCTGCCCCTCTTCTCCCCGCCTGCCCCTCTCCTCCCCACCGTCCCCCCACCAGCATTCCCCTGCCGCCAAGCGTGCCTCGCGGATGCCGCCGCCCACCACCGTCGTCATGCGCGCCTCCACCGGCACGGACGAGGCGCGGACGATGCCAGGGGGAAGGATCGCGAGAGAGAGCGGCTGCGGTAAGGGCGGCGCGAGAAGGTGATCGGCTCGCGGCTCTTGTTCCTCATGCCGCCGCGCGAGCCCTCACACTCCGCTCCCCTCGCATCCCGATCACGATAACGTGCCGGTGTTAGTAGCGATGGTATCAGGCGGCATCGCCACACACTCAGCCACGTGTATCCATGCCACCGTGTCAAACCGCCCACAAAGTAGATGTCACTGGAGGGGGGAGGAGGAGGAGAGGGAGCGGGAGGGAAGGACATGGGTGTGTTGAAGAACGGTCTCACATACTCAGCCTCATCAATCCACGCCACCATGCCAAAGCTGCCCACAAAGTCAATGTCGCTGGAAGGGGGCACAAGGGAGGGAAACGCGAGATGGGGAGGAAGGGGGAAGGGCAAGAGGGTGTAATTATGTGAGTGTCGTTTCACACACTCAGCCACGTCAATCCATGCCTCCGTGCCAACCCCCCTCCCAGAAAGTAGATGCTGCCGAAAGCGATTACCAATTGACCAGATGAATGCGCTTACTACATGAATGGTATCCATGAGGTAAAACTGAAAGTTCCACCACTGCTGCGCTGCCTGTGCTGGAGCCGTGGTAAGATGTGGAGGCGGGGCACAGAAGGGGGGAAACGGAGGGAGGTGAAGAGCAGTAGAGGATGCATAGTGCAAGGAGCACTCGTGTAGCCCATGCTGGTGCCGCTTCGCATAAAAGCCCCGTGCCCACTCCTGGCAGTGGTGGTACAGGAGGGGAGGGAGGGCGGTGAGGCGATGGGGAGAGCAGCGGTGCAAGGGACGTACAGCATCAAGTGCCCTCGTGCTGGTGCCTCTTCACATAGCAGGCCCGCACCCACTCCTAGCGGGGGTAAGGGGGAAGGGAAGTAGGTTGTACGATGTATCTGTGCTTCCACCTCTTTTTACCCAAACGGGAGAGGGGAGAGCAGGAACATGGGATCTGGGGGGGATGGGGTGGGGGGATGGTGGGGTGGAATGGCAGGAAAGGGGGGTGGAGTGTAGGATGTCAACATGCATTCATTTGGGTTCCTCTCACTCTCCCCTCTTCTCCCTGCCCCAACTGCCCATCTTGCTCTCCTCCTTCCCTCCCCCTCCCACTCTCCCCCTCGTTGACTCACGGCCATCAGCATCGGTCGTAAAATCGAGCAGCGACCCCAAGGGATACCCCTTGCGGCGGTGGTGCGAGCGGGGCATGATGGAGCAGAGCTGCGCGTAGCCTACTGCGCCTGCTCCACCAGGTCGCGCACTGCCACTGCTGCCGCAACCTGAACGCGTGGCGGAGACTGGAGAGAGGGGGGGGTTGCGGGAACGGGTGTGAGAGGGGAAGCGTGAGAGAGGGTGAAGTGTGTGCGGAAAAGAGGAGGGTGAGTGAGCGGGGAGGAAGGGTGCGAGGGGGGGGGAAGGGTGTGGGGAAGGAATTCTGGCAAATCAAACGGACAGACGTGGGATGCTTGTGGGGAGGGGAGAAGGGCGGAAGGAGGGGAGGAACGGAAAACTACCTCGCTCACCCGCCCTCCCCCCACCACTGCCACTCACTCGCCCCCACTCTCCCACCGCCACTCACCGGCGCTCACCATCCCCACTCACCCGCCCTCACTGCACGATCCCCCGCAGCGGTCGCCAGCGGCGCCGCCCTCGCATCCGCCTCGCCCGCTCCCCCTGCAGCGGCTGCGCACCACGCCCTCCGCCTGCGGGAGGGAGCGCGCGCTGCGCTTGGCGGAGTGGCGCAGTAGTCGGTGCGGAGAAGGGAAGCGGCGGCTAGCGAGTGGGCGGAGGAGAGTAGGCGCGCGCGTTGCAAGGGTATTCTGGAAAAGAACGGGACCGGGGGGTTGGCGAAGGGGGGAACGGAACGAGAAGAGGGATAGGGGGGGATGAGAGAGGAAGAAGGGAACAGGAGGGAGGGAGAAGGACAGGCGAGAGTCGAGAGCGGGGGGAATGAGGAGTTAGAATCAAGTGGGGAAGAAACGCGGTCAGAAGGAGGACAAGAGTAGATGATTCGAAAATGAGGAGAGCAGCCGCTCTTGCTCTGAAATGCTGTTCCTATCGCAGCAGCGTATGCGGCCTACGCCGCGTGTGTAGACGACTGTTCCAGCTTGCGATTAAGCGCGCATGGCTTGCGAAAACGCCGCACCGGCGACGACCCACCTAATGTGTTCGTTCGCTACTGTAACACTCGCCAGAGGGAGCGTTCCTGGGGGCAAGGCGGGGTGGACGCGGAGTGCCATGGGCCAGAGTCGCGCGGAACGCGGAACGCAGCGCGAGGAGAAGGAACACGCTCGGCGACAATCACTAGGGAAACATCAATGGACGGCGTTGCTCGTTTCGTCGGCGGCTGTCAATGCCCGGGCAATAAAAATGCTGTTGGTGGCGATTATAGCACGCGCGACGCGGCTGCTGATGATGTCTACGCGCGCTGGGAAGAGATGGGATGGGAGGGACTCTCGAAGGGATAGACATGTTTTTCTATCTAGCTGTTGTAAAAAAGCACTCGCTGTATATCGAAGAAAAGGCGAAATCCGTGCATTGTCGGAAATTGCGCTTCTCTCAATCAAATCGACCTGAATTGCTCCGACATCGCCACGTGTGCGTTTTTCTAAATTGGATGGACCGCCATTTCCCCGGCCCCCCAACACGATTTTCCCGCCCTTCCCCTCCGAAATTCGGGCACCCGCAGGAATTTCATGGAATCACAAACAGTCAGGAATACATGTTTTTTTCGAAACGCTAAGATTCCAACAGGCGAGCGATATCTGATTGGACAGAACACTGGTGAGTTACTTCGCGCGCCAAAATCTGATATATTCTAAAATTAGTAATAGCTTGAGCATAACAACTAAATATAATATGAATTTTAATAAGCTCTTTAGCAATAGTATGAGTCTTATTAATTACATGACACTGCAGTAACATATGTTTTAGAATATTTCTAATGGCAGGGTGAAATTTCGTTTGTAAATAATATCAAGCAGTAAAATCAACAAATATATACCTAATTCAAAGATAGTTAGTTCTGATTTACCCTAGAGTGACCACTATAATAAATTAATAAATTTAAACTAAAGATTTTTTATAGTTCCAAATTATGAAATAGACTATGAAAATAGAAAACATAGAAAACTATAGGTTACTAGTATCTCTCGTGTTTTCATGCGCCCCTATCTACTAAGGGGCCCAGCCAGTCATTTAGTCCTATCGACAGTTTTAGGGTTGGCCGCATTATACCTTAGCACCACCCCACAATTCTCGACAATTCTCTCGTCGGTATCCCCGCAACGAGCGCCGCCACCTGCATTGGGTACTATATTTCTACCGAGCATATGCTATCGACTCTGCGGAAAGCGCCATCCTAGGAGCCCATCTGGACGTCTAGCCGGCTGCCATTGCCATTCCTTAGGCCGTAAGCTGTGGCTTCCGCAACAGCAGAGACAGCGGATTTATTAATGCGCGTTTCGGTACATTGGAAGGAAGACAGTCGATTTGCATTTATCTTCTTTTCAATCTGGCGGAAATTGGTGGGAAGTCTGGAACAAGCGTCCCATTTGCGAGCCACTGGCCGTCTCGTCTTCTTAAGGCTCCGTTAGAAGGCTCTCCGGCTGTAGCTCACTGTCATGGCGAACCGTCGCAAGTCACTTGAGGTGCCAATTATCGTGCACAACCGTCCATCTCTCGCCAGCAACGGCCTGAATAGCGTTGGTCGCGCTGCCGCTCCGAGATACGGCGACCGGGAAGACGGCGACTGGCGTAGAGTCGAGCAGCAACAGCAGCAGCAACAACAGGCACGGGACAGAAACGACGAGCCGCAGCAGCGGTGGCAGCCGGCTCAACAACCGGCCGTTGCTGACGGCGACGACTATTACGACGGTGGCGGCTGTCGCGCGTCCGGAGAATGCGATGATCTAGCCAGTAGCGGGGGCAGCGGCAGCAGCGACGTATGGGAGGGTGCGGACGATGGGTACGACGGGGAGCGGGATCCGCGCGCTTACGCGGACGGCGACTGGCGCGCGCAACAGGGGGGAAGAGACAACATAGCCCGCGGGGACTTGGGGATAGGCGGCGGAGGCGGAGGGGAGGCGCGGGGAACGGGGGGAGGCGGACGCGGCGGCGGCGGCGGCGGCGGCGGGGGAGGTGATGACGGGGATGCATGGGGCGGGGGAATGGGGGCGGATTATTATATGGATGGTGGAGGGCGATATGAGCTGGGTGCGGTCTGTATCTGGGCCTGACTCGGATGATACTGTGTGGGTGAAGCTTGCGCTCGTTGCCGACCCGGATTGCGGCAAGTCGAGCTTCATGGTGCGTCGTGGGTTGTGCGTGCTGGTACGCTTGGCTTGTGGTTATGGCATGTGGCATGGCATGTCGCATCAATCCCCCAGATGTCGCATACAATCCCCCAGATGTCGCATCAATCACTCACTCACACGCATTGCATGCGTCCACCCCACCCTTCCAGGCCCGTCTACTCGAAGACTCCGACACTGATATTGGCGCCAGCAGCGGGAATGGCAACGGCGTTGCCAGCGCGCCTGGCGACGGCAGCAGCAGTAGCAGCAGCGCCGCTGGTAGCAGGGTCAACGGTCGTGCGAGTGGTAGTGGCGGTGGTAGCGGCGGTGGGGGGTTACCAGTTGATGGGTTGTCAAACGGGGCAAGGGCAGGCGAGTAACGGAGGAGTGGGAGGAGGAGGAGGCGGAGCAACGGGGGGGTGGTCAGCAGTGTATGCTCCAACAGTGGGAGTGGACTGTCATCATCACAGCATCGCGCTTCCTGCTTACCATATCTATTACCTCCTTGGAACTCTCAGGTGCTTTTTGAGGGACGTAGTTGGTTGGTTGGTTCTTGTCATTTCTCTGAAGCTTTTGATGTGTTTAACCCTCCTCAGTGGTCCAGTGAAACCCCCGCCTTGGATACTTTTCAAAAGTGATTTTAGTGTGTACCAGATATCGTGTCTCTCGTGTTTTACCCTTTCTGTAATGACTCCAACCGTACCCCGCCAAACACCTCTGTTGAATAACCCCTCTTCGCATAATACTTCTCTTACCCCTTTATCCCGTGTCATGCCATGTCCTGTCCTGCCGTGCCATGCCCAGTCGTGTCGTGCCCCTCATTCTGCTCTCCCTCTTCCCTTCTCCGCCACGCCACGCCAGGCCGGCGTCAGTTTGCGTCGCTGCTGCCCTTTGTGTGCAACGATGCAGCAGCGCTTCTGCTCTTCTTCGACCTCACTCGCCCCTCCACCCTTCGCAGGTACCTTACCTTGCCTGCTACCTAACCTCTCTGCCTGCCGTCCTGCCCGCCGTCCTGCCTGCATGCCTTAACGTGGCCTGAGATGTTTTCTTGTTGCACGTGCTCGTCGCAATGTAGACTTCTATGCAGTCAGAGTCACATGCAGTACGCTCAAGCAGCACACGTTTCTCTCAGCCTCCTCAATTTTCACTGGTTCAAATTCCTCATTACCCCTCTTCAACCAGTCTGTCTCCTCTCACCGCACCCTTTTTCTCACCTCTTCTTACCTTGGCTCACCTTCTCTCTCTTCCGTCCATATCACAGCATTAAATCATGGTACTTAGATTAGAAGCCCGGGCCCACAACCAGGTATCACCACCAACCAACCATCCCATATCTCCACCCTCTTGCCTGTAAACATCCCCATCATGTGTTCTCTGCTGCTGCTCATCGTCTTCACCATGTTCTCTTTTCCCTCACATCCATGCGTGTTTCCCTTCGCCTTGATGCGCACATGCTCGTGAGAATCCTCTAATAGCATCTACTCCACTCCCATTGGTATTGGCGGCTCTTCTGTGCCCCCCTTTGTTCCATCGTTCCCTGATTGCACCGGTCTTGAGACGCCTCAAAACTTCTTTCAAAAGTCACGATTGCTACATGTCTCCTTGTTTTGTCTCTCCCTGGTTGCATGGTCTTCCCCATCCGTCTGTGCTCCGCAGTGTGCTCTCCCTGTGCTGGTCGGCACTAGGTTTGACCTATTTTTGCTGCAAGCACAGGAGACGCAGCACCGAGTTACCAAGCAGGTACACGTGTGTGTATGGGTGTGGGTGTGGTGTGTGGGTTTGTGTGTATTTGTGTGCGTTTGGGTGTGTCGGCGTATGTGTGCCTTATGTATATAGTGTGTTTTCATGCAGGTTCATCCATGCAGGTCCATCCATGCATGCATGCACATGCCTTATCACTGCTTTCTGCACCTCTGGTTGCATAGACGCAGCAACTATGTACTCCCTGTAGGCGCAACTGTTTTAAACAAGTCTGTTTCTTTTAGTTCAAAAAGTTGCTCAATCTGTACAGTATTATGACCTGCAAGCCTGTATTCTGATTGGATCTTCAGCATTATCAGTCACAACCAACCTTTTCACCTGATACCCTCTCCCATGAACCTTTTCCAACCCTCCTCTTCCCCTCTCTCCAACTATCCCACCCCACCCCTCCCCCCCACACACCCCCCTTCCCCCATCCCGACTCTCCGCTCCCCCCGTCCTATCAGGCAAAGCTGTGTGCGAGGGCCATGCGCGCTCCTCTCGTGCTCTGCTCTGTGCCGCACAGAGGGAACGTGCACAGAATCCTGCGCCTCATCCTCTCACGCCTCTTCAGCCTTCCAGCACCACATCAACCCTGCACAACCTCTGGCGAGCCGCTCCTCTTTCCATGACTCGCATAACTCTCGTGGGGGAAGGAATATCAAGTTTTGAGACGTCTCAAAACACTTATTCTTGAGGCGCCTCAGGACAGACACCCGGTGCCGCCCCAACCCTGCACCACCTGCTGCGAGCCCCTCCTCTTTCCGTGACTCTTATGAAAAGTC